CTGAAGAGTCTAATGTCTTCTGAGACTGACTTCATTGCTTTTGGTTTCATCTCTGGGGAGCCAGTCCAGTGGAAGATGCACTTTAGACCATAGAGATGCCCCAGGGAGGGCAAGGGCAGGCGGTAGGACTGGACCTTAGAGGATAATGGGGACTGAGGGGCTAAGGACATTGACCTTGTCTTGGGTATAGAAATCATGAAACTGGATGAGCTCCCAGAGGTGAGGTAGCCCAGGGACTGGGTTGTGGGGTGCGGGGCTGCATTCACAGGTGGTGGTGGGAAGAGCAGGAACCAGTGCAGAAGGTGGAATCTGGGCTGGAGCCAGGGGAGAGGAGAGCTTCCAGGAGGAGGAAATTCAGTGCAGCATGCTGGGAAGAAATGGAGGAAAAGCGGGCAGGAGCTAGGAGAGCAAGTAAAAACTAGGCAGTTTGCAGGAACTTGCTAAAGATGTATGAGGACAAGGGAAGAGCCTGATTAAATGCAGAGCACTTGGTAGAGTAGGAAACGTCCCATGAATGTTAGATCCTTCTGGAAATGGAAGCCCTGGTCTTGAGAACAAGGGCCTGGCTTTGGAGGGGCAGAGGGAACCCTTTCCTGAGACCAGCGATTGGGAGGACAGATGAGGGGGGACAAAGGATTTCTGAGGTGAGGGCTGAGGGGGAAGGGAAAGCTCCTGCTAGCTGGTCTCAGTGCCCAAGGAATCTAGAGTTTATTAGCCACTGGGGTGAAGTAGGAGGGAAGTGGCGCTGGTAGGTTTGTGGGCAGAGAACAAGACAGTCTCAGAGTATCTGAACTCTTCCCTTGGGAGCAGCCCTCCTGTACTTGCCCTGGTTTCACCCACTTCTGCCTTCTCCCCACGGTGTCCACCATGGCTTGTCCACCTTATCCACTGGGTTCGGCCCTGGGGTAGGCCAGACCTCAGACCCCTGGCCCTGACTCTTCCCACTCATCCCTGTCTGTGCTGACCACCTGTTAAAGGTTTTCTGTGGCTTCCAGGGGACCAGAACCTGGACCCTGACCAGGTCAAGGGCTCCCCTCCTTTCTATCCAGGGAAGAATAAGGAGAAGAAATTCTAGAGACTCTGGCTGGGGGAATCTTCAGGAAGGGAGCCTCCAAGCACTGAGGTATGATGTCAAGAAGTGGTAGACTATAAGTGTTAGTGCTAGACGGCCCTTGGACACCTCCAGCCCAGCCATCTCGTTTACAGGTGGGAAGCCAAGGCCCTAGGAGGCCTCACTCCCAGTTTCACAGTTGGAAACCAGAACTCATAGGACTGTGCTGGCCTGCTCTTCCTCTTTTTCTCTCTCCATGTGGCCAGAAGTGATCTTTCACCTCCCAGGTTACTGTCTGGGAGAGAGCCTTGTTGAGGGGGTGGGGGGTGGGGGACAGGTTCCTCTGAGGTTCCAGAATGGGTCATAAGATCTAAACTATAAGCACTTGGTTTATAGCTCAGCTTAATCCGTGGTTTATAATTATTTATGAGTCTATCTTCCTTACTAAACTGTGAGTTCCTCCAGGGCAGAGACAACTCTTACTCATCTTTGGGACCCCAGTGCTGGCCTAAAGTAGGCAATAAATTCATGTTGGGTGGATTGGATGGACAGAGGGAAGAGGTGGGATGGGTCAAGAGAGGTGGCTGCATCAATAGCGGGGGCTTACAGGGCCAGTAGATAGTACCTATTTCTCCCCCCCTCCAAGTTCAGAATGAATTGCGAAATAAGACGTAAGAGACAGACAGATGAACACCAAAACGTTGGCTTTACCAATATTGCTGATAAAGCTTTCACTCACTGGCCAAATGATGTTGCTAATATCCTCCCCTCCTCCGAAAAGGCAGATCTCTCTTGCAGGGCAGGATCTCCTTCCTCTGTACATTTACCGTGTAGGCAGATGAATGGAGAGGGTGCTACCTTTGCCTACAGCAGAAACAAAAAAAAAAACAAAACAAAAATAGAAATACAGGCCGGGAGCGGTGGCTCACGCCTGTAATCCTAGCACTCTGGGAGGCCGAGGCAGGTGGATTACTGGAGGTCAGGAGTTCGAAACCAGCCTGAGCAAGAGCAAGACCCCCATCTCTACTATAAATAGAAAGAAATTAATTGGAAAACTGATATATAGAGAAAAAATTAACTGGGCATGGTGGCGCATGCCTGTAGTCCCAGCTGCTCGGGAGGCTGAGGCGGTAGGATCGCTTGAGCCCAGGAGTTTGAGGTTGCTGTGAGCTAGGCTGACGCCATGGCACTCACTCTAGCCTGGGCAACAAAGTGAGACTCTGTCTCAAAAAAAAAAAAAAAGAAATACAGAAAGACTTGAGCCCAGCTCCTTCCCTAAGTCACCAATCAGAAGTGAGTGAGGATGCAGAATTGTTCTCTTATACCTTCCCTCCCCTTATGAAATCATGAGGAGTGAGGACATATCTCCCACTGGGATGGGATGAGGGGAGGATGTGGGGAAGGGTGAGACCCCATCCTTGCAGTGTCTACAGTCTAGACCCAAACCCAGCGCATTTCCTAAATAGAATGCCAAAATCCTCATTCCCTGTGGCCCAGTGGGCCTATAGGGGTGTGAGTGCTCATCTATGTGATTGTGCACAGTGCAGAGGGGACTATGCCTCCTTGAGCAGGGGTGGGACGAGAGGCCAAGTCTCAAAGGCAACAGTGGGACCAGCCATACTCCACTACTGTGGCCCTGGGCCATGTAGGCCTGAGGGCCAGACTTTGGTCTAGAAGAGGCTGGAGACTGATGAGGAGGAGGGTCCGCTGGTTGCTGCTTCACTGGTTTTCGTGCCCTCACTGAGCCCCTGCCCTTTCGCAACTGGAAAAGCTCTGGACTTCAGCGTGTGCTACAGCTACTTTCAATCTGGCACCTGACGTAGATTAGCACATTTATTCCACACAACAGCCCAGTAAAGGAGGTGGTGTTGGTCCTGTTTTACAGACTAAGCCATTGTGACTCAGGGAAGTTGTGATTGTTCAGCTCACCTATTAAGTGGCAGAGCACTGTTCCAACCAGGGGGTCTGACTCAGTCCAATGGCACAACCACAGCCCCTGTGTAGGACCAGCGCTGTGTCTCCAGCCCTGGGGTATTAGGATGAGATAAGAGCTCAGAATAGTGACCTCCTGAAGACCTGTGTCTTCTGGGAGGCTGGTGCCTTGGGCCACTCTCCCCAGCAAGGCTGCTTCCAAGTTATCCAAAAATACCACTCTGGAATCTTCCCACCCTCTGTGCCATCGTCTCTAGGGTAAGAGCCCCGCACCTTAGCAAGGCCTTAAGGCTCTCCATGGTACGGCTCCAGATGGCGTTCCCATTAGCATCTTTCCCTGCACCAGAGCCCCCACCCTCCTTCCTTGGGCATGTCCTTGCCCTCTTCCTCCAGCCAGGAATGCCCTGCTTGCCACTCCGCACTTCTTGAAACTTTCCTCATCCTTTACCACTCGTCCCCTCGTATCTCTGCCTCTTAGGTGGCTTTGCCTTGACGCAAGGGTCTTGGGCACTCTGGCTCCCAGCCCTGGCTGCACCTCTGCTGAAATCCTGTCTCCCCTGACCCAGAGGTGCCAGCCTCTGCTCCCACCACCCCCACACAACAGTCACCTGCCCAGGCGCCACTCAGCTTGTGAAAGACAACAGACAAGACTAAATGGCCCCTAGGATGGCTGAATGAAGCCAGGCAGGCATCTGACACACCTCCTGGACAGGAAAATAGTTTCCTTCCTCTTAATAATAGTCATTATGGGGCCTGTGCCCAACATGCTGCAGCCAGGGACTGGGCTTGGGTCTGTCTGGAGGGCTCCCATCACCCTGGGCCATCACCCCCATCCTAGCCCCAAGGCTACTCTGCCCACAGGGAGGGCTGCATTGAAAGGGGCAGCTGGTTCTGCTGTGGGGGATTGGATTTGATTTACCCACTGTTATTTTCAGGATGTCCACAGCAACCTTTTCCCTTCAACTCAGTCTTCCCACCCCTGCCCCTCTCAACTGAGCCCCCTGTACACACTCATAGTACCACAGTCCCGAGTTAGAGTCCAGAACTACCCCACTACCCAGACACTCATGCACACACAGGTCCACATACACTGACATGCAGCTAGGTACTTACAGACAGCTAAGCAGGCACACGTGCACAGGTATAGTTCTGCATAGGTATATGTACATATATTTAGTTGAATCATATAAAATTACCAGTCTTCAGTGGGTTTCATTAATTTACAAAAATGGAATCTAGTACAAACTTGGGCATGGAAGGAAGTATACAAAAATACAGAGCCAAATTTGTACACCAATGTTCAAGTGGCAGTATACACAATAGCCAAAAAGTGGAAGCAACCCAATCAGTGGATGAATGGATAAGCAAAATGTGCTATTGATATATACATACAATGGGATATTATTCAGCCTATAAAGGAAGTAAATTCTGACACATGCTACAACATGCATGAACCTTGAAAACATTCTGCTAAGTGAAATAAGATGGTCACAAAAAGACAAAGCTGTACTATGCCACTTAAATGAGGTATCTACAGTAGTCAAATTCCTAAAGACAGAAAGTAGAATGGAGACTGCCAGGGGCTGCGGGAGGGGAAAATGGGGAATTAGTGTTTAGTGGGTACAGAGTTTTAGTTTTGCAAGATGAAAAGAGTTCTGGACATGGATGGTGGTGAGGGTTGCACAATAATATGAATTTACTTATGCCACTGAATTGCACAGTTAAAAATGGTTAAAATGGCACATTTTATGTGTATTTTACCATAAAAGATACAGCACTCTGGGAGGCTGAGATGGGTGGATCGTTTGAGCTCAGGAGTTCAAGACGAGCCTGAGCAAGAGCGAGACCTCATCTCTACTAAAAATAGAAAGAAATTAATTGGCCAACTAAAAATATACATATATAAAAAATTAGACAGATACGGTGCCGGATGCCTGTAGTCCCAGCTACTTGGGAGGCTGAGGCAGAAGGATCTCTTGAGCCCAGGAGTTTGAGGTTGCTGTGAGCTAGGCTGATGCCATGGCACTCTAGCCCGGGCAACAGAGTGAAACTCTATCTCAAAAAAAAGAAAAGAAAAGATACAGAGAGACAAATATATGTGCCATGAAGTCAACTTACACACTGAAAGATAAATACAGTTAACTCAGTCACACACCAACATGCCTCCCTCCCCTTCGGCCCCAGATAAGGCTCTGATTCTTCCCTTCAAACAAATCTGTAGATAAGGCCCTAATGAGAGCTCCTGGCCCTCCCACGGGCTGGCTTTGTTTACTCTACTTCCTGCCTCTCCTGTAGCCTCCCCACCCCCAGGGAAGGGCCTCCTTAGAATGGTGCTCCGATTTCTGCCCCTGCACCCAGGAGAGGGTGGAATGCTCCAGCATTTCAGCTTCTGGCCTGTGGCTCACCCATGTCTCCCCCACACCCCGGGCCTTTCACTTCTAGGCTCCTCAAGGACAGGCCCAGCTCAACTCAGGGAACTTCTAAATCACCCTATCCCCCACTGCATGTGCAAAGTTATGTGGACACAGAAGAACCTATATCCCAGACATGATCACAGACCAGATAAACCAAGTGCAGTCAGTACTAAACAGGGTTGTGAGACATGGCTTTAGGTCTCCTGCACTCCCTGCTGTCCTCATTGGACCTCATCCCTCTGAGGTGGTATCCACTTCTGTCAGGCCTGCCCCCCATCTGCAGCTGCCATCTGCTGACCCCCTTATCCAGGGCAAAGCCTCTCACCCATTCTTCTGAGAACAGACGATACATGCTCTAGGACTTCGTCCCTTTTTGGGGCAGAGATCAGAAACCTGCTGGCCCTGTCTGCCCCCTGACCTTACAGTGTGTCTGCCCATCCTCTGAAATAACCTTTCAACCTTTTAATACTCAGCCCTAGAGGAGGAGAGGAAGGCTGGGGTCTGGACCCCATCGAATCAAGAGCATCCCTGGAGTTGAGGGTGTTCCATCTGGAACAGCATGTCTCAGGGGTGGGCCTCAGCCCACTGCCCCAGGTTCACCAGACCCTAGTTAAAAAGGCAAGCTTTAAACAGTTACTCAGACCAGACTGGATCAGGGTGGGGTGGGTGGAGCCCCGGGGATCTGCATTTTAACACTTGCCACCCATTCTTGGGGTTTAATGTGACAGCCACTGCTCTAGATCCTTGGAGGATGGCCTCTGAGCAGGGGTGGGCATGTGGCATGGGGGTGTGAGCACTAGTTATGATCCTGGAGAGTGACAGGGTGATTGTGAGGGCAAAGAGAGGCCTGGATGAGGGACAGAAAGGTATTTTGTTTTTTCTCCCCTCCTTCCCTTCCCAGAGATAGGTATTGTTGTCCTTGGTGGTTCAGTGTGACACTCATTCGGCTCTTATTTAGAGCCTGTGTGCATGTGGGCCAACAGGTGTGCTATCCATCATGGTATGTTTGGGGTTATGGCCAGTCTCTAAATGAGTGTTCGGGCCAATTTATGTGAGTATGTTTGATCAGAACATGTGATCTGCCTGTGTTGGCCTGTAGTCTATGTTGGTCAATTGTCAGTATATCAGTCAGCATACCTGCCTGTGTGTTCATGTTTTTTCCTGGGTGTCGAGTCATTCATCCACCGTGGAGTGTGCGTGCGTGTGTGTGTCCCTGAGCAGGCACAGGGCCCTCTGGACTGTAATCTAACCTCCATGGGTCCCTGGAAGGTCAGGGTTTGGAGACTTGCTAGGAGCTTGGTGGCCATATGGCAGTGTTGCTGGGGAGGAGTGGGGAGGCAGACAGGAGTGTGCACTAAGGCTGGCACTGCCGCTTCTCTGGGCAGGCGAGTCCCAACACAGACAGACAGGTGGGGCTGACCTGACAGGTTCCAGAGGCCAGGGGCAATGGGGCGGAGCATGCCTCTGACTTAGGGTGGCAACGGTTTGAGGGCCCTGCCACACACGGAGTGCGCAGGCAGGAGGCGGTTCTGCTGATACCTTCTTCTGCTACAGCCAACCCTGCGTGCAGGCATGGGGCAACCAGGTGGGCAAGCATGTTTGGAGGCCTAGGACCTGGGAGCCCAGGGCATGGCGGGACCCCTGCGGGGCCGGGTGGAGGAGCTGAAGCGGCCGTGGTGGCGGGAGAGCTCACCACTGGTGCTGCGGCACAGTGAGGCAGCCCGGCTGGCAGCTGATGCCCTCCTGGAGCGAGGTGAGGCTGCCTACCTGCGGGTCATCTCTGAGGAGCGGGAGCTGCCCTTCCTGAGCGCCCTGGACATTGACTACATGACTGGCCATGTGCGTGGGAGCCCTGAACTTAGCGAGGCCAGGAGGCCAGAGGCCTCGGGGCCTGACTGCCTCAGCCTGCTCTCCGAAGTCACCTCAGGCACTTACTTCCCCATGATCTCCGACGTAGACCCCCCAGACCTGGACCTGGGCTGGCCTGAGGTTCCACAGGCCACGGGCTTCAGCCCCACCCAGGCCGTGGTCCACTTCCAGAGGGACAAGGCCAAGAACATCAAGGACCTGCTGCGTTTCCTCTTCAGCCAGGCCCGCACGGTAAGGGCCTCATCTCTTCATTCATTTCACAGATGTGGAAACTGAGGCCTAGGGAGGGAAAAGGGACTAGCCCCAGACCACACAGCAACTTAGGAACAGAATTGGGACTTGAACCTCTGGCACTACTAGATCACAAGCTCCTAGAGGGTGGGCACCTGTCTTATTTACCTTGGCAAACCTTTGCTCTCAAGAACATGATGGATGAGCATAGAACAGGGCACAGGCCTCAGGTATTCCACAAAACCCCTGAAAATGCACACAAAGTTGTGCTTGTTGGAGGAAGGGGTCCTCTCTACATCTTTCTTAGGAGGTGGTCCATGGCCTTCATCAGATTCTCCAAGTTTTACAATCCCCAAACTAAGAACTCCAACCATGGAAAATGTCTGAGCCACCCCTTGACTTACAGAGGAAGAAATTGAGGCCAGAGAGGAGCTGGGACTTACCGAGGGAGGGCCACTCAGTTGGTGGAACAGAGCTCAGGGCTCCAGGAGAAGGGGTCTCTGACTCAGGTCCAGGGCCGCAGTCAAGGCCCCACTTGCTAGCCCATGTCCCCAGTGACTCCTGGCCCTCCTGCACTGCTTCTGCAGCTGGGCCTGAGGCAGCGGAGGGGCGCAGGTGCAGGCCTCCTTAGCACGGCCTTGGAGCTGGGCTCTTAGCTCAGAACCAAGGAGGAAAGAGCAGTGGGGGCTGCTGGGCTGAGCTGGGGGAGCGAGAAGGGGGGGCAGTGGGTGGTAGGGAAGGGCAGCACCTGCGACAGCTCCAGCCCTACACAAACATGGCTTTACTCCTAGAGCCCTGGCCTCTGACTCAGGAGAGAGGGTAGTTGACCAGATGACCCCTGGCAGGATTTGAGGTTGGGTTAGGTTCCTTCTGCAGAGATCAAGAGCCAGGATGCTGGGATCCCACCGGTATCTCCAGAGCCTCCCTGGCAAGCCTGCCTGTGCCCCAGGCAGGGGAGGGCCAGGCCTGATTGGCATCGGAAACGGGGTTATTAGTGAGGCTCTTGCTGTCATCGTCACCCCTGCCTCTTTCATCTTTCCTGCCTGTCCTTGTCCCCCACCCCCACCCCCTGGCCAGCCTGCGCTATAAACTAGGGCATCCTGCTTCCTAAACCCCCAGTTATACCCCTGCACTCCAGGCTAGGAAGGAGCCAGATTCCCGCTCTGGGCTGTCACGGATTCTGAGCAACCTTGAGAAATGCTCCCTTTCCCTGCAGCCCGATGTCCTCATTTGTTAAGAAGGCAGTGGGAAAGGAACATTTATTGAGCTTGTTGTGTGTTGAGCATTTTCACATTTAATTCCCCATAACTCAGAGACGTAGCTGTCATCATCTCCACTTAACAGATGAGGAAGTTGAGGCTTCCAGAGGTGAAGTGACTCTCCTGAGGCCCTACCCCTAGGAAGTAGCAGAGTCCAGGTTTGCACTCAGTTCTGTCTGCCTCCAGGGCTGGATGCTGTGCTCTGGCTCTGCCTGGGAGAGAAAATCCTCACAGCAGATACAGGCAATGGGAAGAAGTGTCAACTGGGGGCTTGAAGGTGCCAGGGGGGTTTCATGGGCCTCTCTGAGGCAGCCCCTTATATGGGATGGGGGCACAAGCCCCAGCCCAGCCCTCAACTGAGCAGGAAACTTGGTTCCACTTGGCATGGATGTAAGTAAGTGAGTCTGTGAGTGTAAAGTTTCACACCAGACCTCTGCAGCTTCACAGGGAAACTGAGGCAGGACTGGAAAAGGGCATTGAAGACTCCAGTCACTGGCTTACTGCTCTGATCCCTAAGAGGGGAGCCTCAGACAGACAGTCCCTGGGTTAGAGTAAGGGCCAGAGTTAACAGGGAGAGCACAGGAACTTGCCTGGGATTTGGAGGCTGGGTTCTGTTTCTGACTCCTGTCCCCCTCACTCAAGGTAGAGTGAGGCTTTGGACTAGGACAGTTGATCCACAGACATCTTTGAGGATCTGGTGACAGATAAACACCCATACCACAGAAAAATGCACACAAAAACTTTCAAACAACTAGGGGTTCAAGATGATCAAATCGCCCTATGCCCACGTTAAAAGTCCCTGGACTGGATCATTGCTAAAAGCCCTTCCATTTCAGTGGTTCTTGAAGGCTTTGGCCTCCTGATTTTCAGTCCAGTGCTGTTTTCCTGGGACCCTGGTCCCTGCCCCGGGCTGGGCTGGTTATGGGCAGTGCCCTGGGCAGGGCTGAGTTTTCACACCCCTAACCCAGGTGGTGGCTGTAGTAATGGATGTATTCACCGACATGGAGCTTCTGTGTGACCTTATGGAGGCCTCAAGCCGGCGTGGTGTCCCTGTCTACCTGCTCCTGGCCCAGGAGCACCTGAAGCACTTTCTGGAGATGTGCTACAAGATGGACCTCAATGGGGGGCACTTGCTGGTCAGTGAGGAGCAGGGACAATAACCAGGGGTTGGGGTGGGCAGGGAAGCCAGCGGATGGTCAGTGGGCACTGGGATAAGTGGGAGTGGGGGACTGGGCTCCCTTAGCTATCTATGCCCATGGGGCATAGACATGGCTAGAGCCCCACTCTGTCAAGGTCACCCCAACCTCCCTCCACCCTTGACCCAGAACATGCGTGTACGGAGCACATGTGGAGACACATACTGCAGCAAGGCAGGCCGCCGCTTCACTGGGCAGGCCCTGGAGAAGTTCATCCTCATCGACTGCGAGCAGGTGGTGGCGGGCAGCTACAGGTGAGCAGTGGAGGACGAGGAGAGGGGCCTGGGGCTGTGCTGCTGGCTGACGAGGGCACCTGAGATCCAGCAGCTTTGAGCTTCCCTCCATTCATGCATCCCTTCAGATTCAGGCTGAGCACCTGCCGTGTGCCAGGCATCGTCAGAGTTCAGGATAGCATGGGGGGGCAAGTCAGCCCTGGAGGAGCTCACTCTAGTGGGAGGATTGCTGTAATGCCCTTGGCATTGAAAATAACTACTGCGTGTTGGAACTGTAGGGACATCAGGGAACCTCCCCCTGCCCATTTTACAGAAGGGGAAGTTGGGGCCCTAGGAGGCCAGCCACATGCCCAAGTCTGCTAAGCAGGGCTAGGACGAGCAGAGACTCTGGAGTTGGAGCTCTGACACTGTTACTGTGAGCCCTCATGGTGGTGGAGTTTGGGTTAGTTTCTGGGTATACTCTCCTGGCTGTGACCCCCGCTGAGCCCCAGGGTCCTGCACTTAGTCTCCTGATCCCACCTTCTGCCCTCAGCTTCACCTGGCTTTGCAGCCAGGCCCACACCAGCATGGTGCTGCAGCTGAGGGGCCGTATTGTGGAAGACTTCGACCGGGAGTTCCGCTGTTTGTATGCCGAGTCACAGCCTGTGGAGGGCTTCTGTGGTGCTGAGGAAACACTGTCTCCCCGGGCACTGCGTCCTCCCCCAGAGGCCCTGCCCTTCGGGCCTGGCATCCCAAGCCCCATGTCGTCCTCACCCTCCAGCACCAGCCTCAGCAGCATCAAACGCTCACCTCTCATGGGTCACTCCTCCTACCTCGCTCTACCAGGAGGTGGTGGCTGCAGTGACATGAGAATCGGGTCTTCGTCCCCTAGCCTTGCCCACCGAGAGCCCAGTGACCAGCCCTCCCTGCACCGCCAGCTGTCAGACCCTAACCGTGTCTCCTCTCCTGGGCTCTACAGGGCCAACCTGGGCAAGCTGGGGGCATACCCATGGGCCCAGTCCTCCCCTGCCCTCAACCACAATAGCACCAGCCCCTTGACCCTGGCAGTGGGGTCACCTCTGATTCCCCGCTCCCGCCCTCTCCTCCACTTCTCCCGGGGTGTCTCAGCTCTGTCCCAGCTCCCAGAGAATGGGGTCTCAGGAAACCAGGAGCCTAGCCCTCCACGAGGTCGCCGGGTACCTGGGAAAGCCCTGGAGCCAGTGGAGGAGAAGAAGGTATCTCTGAGTCAGAGCCATGGCCAGCTGGATCTCCTTGTCCCTTTCCCCAGAGCCCGAGAAGCAGGAGATCCTGACTCTGGGGTTTCACCAAACTCAGGTTCTCTTTGGCCTGGCGAACAGGCCCCAGAGGACAGGAGTTTGTCCCCAGGCCAGGGCAACAGCCAGCTGGATCTCCTGCCCCAGGCCCAGGGTGCTGGAAGTACCCCTGAGTCAGGTTCCCTCAGGCCTGGTGATCAAGTCCCAGAGGACAGAAGACTGCCCCTAAACCACAGCCATGGCCAATTGGACCTCCTGGTACAGCACCCCAAGGCCCGGGGCTCCAGAGCACCCCCTGAAGCCAACTCCTCATCCAGGCCTGCCAAGCAGGGTCCAGATGAGCGACGGCAGACCCTGGGCCACAGCCAGCTGGATCTCATCACAAAGTTCGGCCCGTTCCGGGGTGAGGGGCCTGGGCCCAGTGGTCTCCCAGGACCAAGCCCTGCTCACATGGCTGGAGTGGGCTCTGGGGAGAAGCGGCTGACTCTGGGCCACAGCAAGCTGGACCTCATCACCAAGTATCATCAGTTGCAAGGTGCCAGGCAGGGGCCTGAGCCTGGCCTCCTTGGGGGTCCCACAGGTGGCCATCGCAATGGTAATAGCAACGACCTGTTTCAAGATGAGAAACGGCTGACCCTGGGCCACAGCAAACTGGACCTCATCACTAAATACAACAAGTCCAAGTTCAAGCTGCTCCGAAGTCGCTTTGAGTCCTAGCTCCTCCATCCACTGAGACTCTGAACTTGCTCAGGTCCCAGACTCTGGGGAAGGGAGGTGTCTAGAAGCTCAGGTCAGACACATTGTCTGGGCTAAAGATTCTTGCTTACTCACATACACAGAATCACAGGAAAATGAAACCCACAGTTATTCGGTGTCTACTGCATGCCACTATGCTGGGCACTTCACACCGGGTACTACTCATTCTTCATTCTTACAACCTCTTACAAGATGGACCTCTTGTAGGTATATAATTATAGGATAATAGATGTTATCCCCCTTTTTTATATATGCAGAAGCTGAGGCTCAAGAGAGTTTGAATGACTTACTTGGAGTCAGTCCAAGTAAATGGCAGAGTAGGGACCTAGACCTGTGTCTTTCTGGCTCTTTTTTACACAGACATGATACAATATCCACAATTCACATGTCCCTTTGCACACAAAATATGCGCATTACAGAAATTCCCCAAGTGCCCATTCCATATATTATACACAGCACATTGATAGGGTACATATCCACAAACTGCATACTCACAGCCACACACATAGGTCCATGTGAGAAACCAAACACTCAGAATTTTAGTTGTGGGCACTCAATAACTGTCATTTGGCTAAATGAATGGCTACACAAAATACCTGCATTCAGTGTACACTGTAGACCCCCTCAGGATCCACAGACTATAAATATGCCTATAACCCCACACATACACACACACACCCCAACCAGTATCTTCTTGAACCTAAGCTGTTTCCAGCCCTGCACAGGGCATACCATAGGGCTGACAAATGAATCAGACTCAGACCCAGGGGACAAGGATCAAATGCATAAACCATTTGGAGAACAAGTCATAGCTGTATCAAGTTAAAGGCTAACCAGTGACAGAGGGCAACAGAAAACAAAGGGCAGAGAGTCATGGAGATGGTGGAGTGGTCAGGATAGTTTCATAGAGGAGGCAGCCTTTGAGCCAGACCTTGAAGCATGAGGAGGTTTGGGACAGACAGAGGTGAGAGAGGAATTTTTGGTACAGGGAACCAGGCGAACAGATGTCCAAGAGAGGACTGAGTGAGTGAGTCTGAGGTGAACTGGGGAGGACAAGTGGAGCATGTGGATACTCAAGACACACACACACACACACACCCTCATCATCATCCTCATCCTCATCTTGCTGAGTGTCTCTTGAAGTATGGGCTGTAACAGGTTGTGAGCCCTTTTGCTGAGCTCACCGCCTACCTGGAACAGTACGCATGATACAAGTCAATAAAGGCAGACATGACTGTGACCCAACAGCAGCCTGATATATCCTGAGCTATGTGGAGTTAATGAAATGGGCACAGGGGCTGGGGGAGAGCACAATTCAGGCCAATTATGGAGGGCCCCCTGGAGGAGAGTGAATGGCCAAAGTGCTTTGGGGGAAGGGGGGTACCTGGGACTCCAAGCCCTCTCTGCTCTCACTGTGACATTCTGAGAGGCCCTGGGGCTTTTGTAAATTCTACAAAATGTGGACCAAGTTCATCCTGTCCAAGAGAGCCAGGCTCTTGTCTAACCATTATCCCAGGGGCAGAAGGTGGCTGCTGAATGAGTGATAAAGGCCGTGCAAGAGGCATCGTGGAAGCCAGTCAGCACTCTCATCCTTGCCCACCCTGAACCCCTTTCCCTCCTACTCTCCCTAAGACCCTGCTTCATCCATCCTCCCCTCTCTCCAATACCTTCTTCAGCCTCTACTTCTCTGGCGGCGCCTACTTGACCAGCTTCTTTGTCCTAGTTTCACTTCTCCCTCCTGGACACTCTCTCCCTGGATGACCTCATCCACTCCAGGCTTCAGCTCCTAATCTCATTCCTCATTTCCAGAAGAATGAGATTGGGCTCCAGATCTGAACTTCTGTCCCGCACAGCGGAGCTGGACTCATCACTTCCTCAAACCGGCCCTTCCTGCTGTGGCTTCATTTCAGTAAATACCTCTATCATCAACCCATCTTCTGTGAGACACCCCTGGCTCCGGGTCTCCTTTGTACTTCACATCCGACCAGCCGCAAGTCTAGGTCGATTGTAGCTCCCCAAAAGCTCCTGAATGAAGAATGAATGAATGCACGCACGCACGTAAGCTGGGGGCGGGGCCGCGTCGGGACCATAGCAACCATAGAGTCCTCCTAGAGGATGGCGGTAGAGGGGCCGTATGCGTCGCTGGGTGCGCAGGCCCTCCCGGAAGTCTCCTGGGCGGAGGCGGAAACGGAAACATTTTGAGGGAGGCGAAGGGTCTGTTGTCGCGTGTGGAGCTTGCGGTTACTGGGTGAGCTGGTGTGAGGGAAGACCAGAAGGATCAGCTCTGGGCCTCGGGTCTGGAGGAGTGGGGGCTGGAGGATTCAGGGCCAGAGAGCCAGAGGGGCCCAGTGGGCGGGACCCAAGGTCTGAGAGGCCGAGAGGGGCGCGGTCGCCGCGGGGCCAAACGAGGGAGAAGTCGCGTTACGTGGGAGGGGATCCACCGGCCCTGAACTCTCATTCCCTGCTCCGCGGCCTCTAGCCTCATGGCGGTCCGAGCGTCGTTCGAGAACAACTGTGAGATCGGCTGCTTTGCCAAACTCACCAACACCTACTGCCTGGTTGCCATCGGAGGGTCAGAGAACTTCTACAGGTGCGGCGGGAGCCCGGGGGCTTGCGGTGGCGGGGAGGGGAGTCGGGAACTTCGACAGAGTGAGGGTACCGGCCCCTCAGCCCCGTGACCACCGAGTCCATATCCCTACAGTGTGTTCGAGGGCGAGCTCGCAGATACCATTCCCGTAGTGCACGCGTCCATCGCCGGCTGCCGCATCATCGGGCGCATGTGTGTGGGTAAGACAGGTTGAGGGCGCCGAGGGAGGGAGTGGAGCCTCCAAGTACATTATTCATACCCTTGGAGGGGACCCGTAGTGACCTAGGAAGGGACTGTAGAATCTCAGTGTTGGGTAGGACCCCGTCTAAGTGTCAGCAGATTAGGCGGCAACCTCTGGCAAAGGCTTCTAAGTAATAGTAATAACATTAATTGCTTTCACTCTTATTCTCATTCCTTCTTTTTTTTTTTTTTTTGAGACAGAGTCTCGCTTTCTTGCCTAGGCTAGAGTGAGTGCCGTGGCGTCAGCCTAGCTCACAGCAACCTCAAACTCCTGGGCTCAAGTGATCCTCCTGCCTCAGCCTCCCGAGTAGCTGGGACTACAGGCACAAGCCACCATGCCCGGCTGATTTATATATATATATATTAGTTGGCCAATTAATTTCTTTCTATTTTTATGGTAGAGACGGGGTCTCGCTCAGGTTGGTTTTGAACTCCTGACCTTGAGCAATCCGCCCGCCTCGGCCTCCCAGAGTGCTAGGATTACAGGCGTGAGCCACCGCGCCCGGCCCTCATTCCTTCTTCACAAAGACACTGGGAGGTAGGGATTATTGGCTGTGTTTGATGAGGTAACTGAGACTCAGCCTAAATGACTCACCAAGTTCCACACCTAGTTCCACACCTAGTTTAGAAGAGGATTTGTTTCTCATCTCCCCCTGCCACTGGCTGTGGGCAAGTTGCTTCCTCCTCCTGAGCATCTGTTTCTGCCTCTATGAAAAGGACTAGCTAAGATTCTGGGTCCTCCTGCTCAGTTATATGTAAATCCTAAAGGACCACATCTCTGTCCTACCTCCCTGTCCTACCTCTAGGTACTGTTGACTCTGACAATTGGTCCTTTCTTTAAGCTGGATCTGTCTCCTTCATTGATCTGCCACTCCTGTTACTTAGTTCTGTTAATTGAGGTCATACAGAAGTCTGATTATTTTTTAATTTACTTTTTTTTTTTTCTTTTTTGGTTAAAACACCCTGGTCTCTATGCACTTAGTCCATGCACTTAGGACTTGAAGCAAGCTCTGACAGAACAAGGGAGAATTTAGCCTGGTCCTTTATGTATTTTATGATGGTAGTAACTCGAGTTCAGAAATTGAGTTGTGGCCTTGCAAGGATGGGCAGAGGTTTAGCCGTAGTTGTCACGTGTATTTGTAGTTTGTTCATTCTTGTTACTGTATGTGTTTTGTGTAAGTATACGACAATGTATTCTGTTATTCTATTGACAGTGTGCATTCGGGTAGTTTTCACTTTGGTCTGTTAGGAATAGTGCAGCTATTTTTTAGTGAACATTTATATGTATTTCTATTGGATAAATAACTTGGGAGTGGAATGGTAGAGCCACAGGTTCTGTAACTATTCAGTGTAATAGGTGATTATCTGAAGTGGTTGACCAATTCATACTCCTATCAGAGTGTACAAGAGTTTCAGTTGCTCCATATATCTTTACTAACACTTGACATTGATGGTCTTTTAAAAAGTTTGGCTAGTTTTGTAAATGAGTAGCATTGCCCCACTTTTTAGTTGCATAATGTGCAACTAATGCCAGGAGCCCTTCCTGTTAGTTCTAGTTCATGATGGTAAAGTGGGCAAGGTTTTTTTGGACAGACTCTTGGGCCATCTCTGGCCTACGTGTTGAATGGATCATTGGCTGGAGGTTTGGGATCTGGGCCTAAAATTTTCCTGGGAAAGCTGATTGGGCTGGGCGTGGTTGTATCTTTAGTCCCTAGGGTTCTGCAGACATCTTGCATATTCATAATCCATCTGTGCCCCATCTTCCAATTTGGGTCTCTCCAGGGAACAGGCATGGTCTCCTGGTGCCCAACAACACCACCGATCAGGAGCTGCAACATATTCGCAACTGCCTCCCAGACTCAGTGCAGATCCGGCGGGTAGAGGAGCGGCTCTCAGCCTTGGGCAACGTCACAACCTGCAATGACTATGTGGCCTTGGTCCACCCAGACCTGGACAGGGTGAGGCAGCCCAACTTCACCCAGGAGTCATAGGACCATCCTACTCAGTGGTGATCCACTGTTCTTTCCTAACAGGCAGGGATTGAGGGTATCTCTTGTGGTTTCTTTTTATATATGGCTTCTGGAATTTTAGACACTCATTAGAATAATAATAGAGGCCTTCCATGGTAAAATCAGTGTCAGAAAGAAGCTGGGGAGGGTATTAATCCTTAGGATCCGGAAGTTTGACCCATCCAGTCCTGCAGCCTGGGCCAGGATAAGTGATTGATAGTTGAACTTTTGACTGTGAATTAGAGAGGAAAGGGTGACATGGAGACCAGCCTCCAGCAGTTCAAAGCACGCATGGATAGTAGCGGCTCCAGAGCTGGCCTAAACTCTGCTCTAAGCTGATACTCCTTCCTTTCTCTTTGTGAGGCTTTCATATGAGGTACGTAGCAGAGAAATGAAGGGCTCAGGGAACCAAGCTGGGGTGATTCTGGGCATGGAGAGCTCTGGTTCTTTGGCCTGTAAGTTCTGAGACCTGAATATAGTACCTTTGGCTAACAGGAGACAGAAGAAATCTTGGCTGATGTGCTCAAAGTGGAAGTCTTCAGACAGACAGTGGCTGACCAAGTACTAGTAGGAAGCTACTGTGTCTTTAGCAATCAAGGAGGGTTGGTGCACCCTAAAACTTCAATTGAAGACCAGGATGAGCTTTCTTCTCTTCTTCAGGTCCCCCTTGTGGTAAGCATTCCTGTCCTCTGACCCCTGTCACCTACTGAGGCAGATCCCTTTGGCTAGTGTTCGGGAATCTGGGTCATTACCTGCCACAGTTTGGGATTGGGGCTGCAGGTCAGGGAGCAGGGTTTGAAGAGAATCCTCATCAGGGAGGGCAGAGACTTTGGTGCCATGACCCACAATGAGCCCATCTCTTGGCAGGCAGGCACTGTGAACCGAGGCAGTGACGTGATTGCTGCTGGGATGGTAGTGAATGACTGGTGTGCCTTCTGTGGCCTGGACACAACCAGCACAGAACTGTCGGTGGTGGAGAGCGTCTTCAAGCTAAATGAAGCCCAGCCTAGCACCATAGCCACCAGCATGCGGGATTCCCTCATTGACAGGTATGTAGAGGGTGGTCTTTACTCTCTTCTGCCCAGGGCAATGGTCTCACTTGACTTTTGAGGGTAGGGAGAAAAGATGCCATGTACAATGGGAGCTACACCGTATTTATACTGGTAGGTTCTCAAATGAGAATGTATCTGCACACTGCTGAGCAGTCACGGGATACATTAAGCAAATATTTCATGAGCATCTGCTAATCCCTATCTTTGAAGACTCACCTCAGTGTTCCCTATCTATGCAAGCCTTCCCTATGGTTTTTCTTATTTGATCACTGACCACATTATTTTAGTTTTTGTTTGTCTGTATGTCAGTATCCTCAGCCAGCAGCCCAGGGCCTGAGAGAGAAGAGAGTTGTTTGCTGAGGCAAGGTGTTAAGAGTACTCTTAAACACTGAAGACACCCTAGATTGCTACAGGAGTGTTTCAGCTGGTTGGGGGTGGGTGGTATTGCATCAAAATCACAATCTGAATTTTTTTTTTTTTTTTTTTGAGACAGAGTCTCACTCTGTTACCTGGGCTAGAGTGCTGTGGCATCAGCTTAGCTCACAGCAACCTCAAAACTACTGGGCTCAAGGAATCCTCCTGCCTCAGCCTCCCGAGTAGCTGGGACTACAGGCATGTGCCACCATACCCAGCTAATTTTTTCTATATATTTTTAGTTGGCCAGTTAATTTCTTTCTATTTTTAGTAGAGACAGGGTCTCGCTCTTGCTCAGGTTGGTTTTGAACTCCTGACCTTGAGCAATCTGCCTGCCTTGGCCTCCCAGAGTGCTAGGATTAAAGGCATAAGCCACCACACCCGGCCGATTTTTTTTTTTTAAGACAGTCTCACTCTGTCATCCTGACTAGAGTGCCATGGTATCAGCCTAGCTCACAGCAACCTCCAAACTCCTGGGCTTAAGAGTTTGAACCTCCTGAGCCTCAGCCTCCCAAAACGTCCGGCTGATTTTTTGTTTCTATTTTTTAGTTGGCTGGCTAATTTTTTCTATTTTTAGTAGAGACAGAGTCTCAGATCTTACTCAGGCTAGTCTCAAACTCCTGCCCTCAAGTGATCCTCCTGCCTTGGCCTCCCATAGTGCTAGGATTATAGGCATGAGCCACCAGGCCTGGCCAGCAGATCTCTTTTTCTGTCTGGTATTTGTGGCCTTTCATGTTTAAGTTAGCACTAATAGTTAGGGAGAGTTCTGGCCCCAGCCCTGGCATGGAAGCACTGTGGTCTGGGCATATCCCTTCCCATTGCTGCACCCCCTTGTTCCCTTCTCTGATCAGTGAACTTGTCCTCTGAGGCTTTAGTTTATGAACAATAAATAACAGTTTGAATAAATTGTTGAGTGAGTTGACCCACCTGAGTGGGGAAGGAGTTAACTTTCAGTTTTTAAGCATTAAGAGTTCTAAACTGGGCTGTGACTCATGGATGCAGTCAAACCTGGAACCAGGATGGGGCTGGGTGGGGCTCTGAGTGTGGTTCTTTGGGGCTGAGCTAGAACAAAGGCTCAGGCGTGAGGGTGGAGGAAAGTACCTTGAGAGTGGAGGGTGAGGTGTGCTCTGTGCAACAGCTGCTGACAATGCTCTTTCCTCTCTCTCCAGCCTCACCTGAGTCACCTTCAGTGTTCTGTGGGCTCCTGGCTCTGGACTTTGGCTCCCTCTCCATGCCCCACCCAGTCTGTACCAGATGCTGACAGGGAGGTGGCAGAGAGCTCATTGGAACTTAGTGGCTGCACATCCAGGCCCTTTTTACCTGTGCCAAAATCCCGAATCCATCATTGCTTCAAAAACCTGTTATGTTTTGCTGGCTGTCAGGCCCTGTGGCTCCTGGCTGAGGGTTCTGCTGTCTTGTACCACCTCATTAAAGCACAGCTGCCTCTGGCCATTCTGATTGTGATGTTTGGGGGCCTCAGCCTGTGTGCAAATTGTCCCAGGGTCCTGGGGAATATTGGATGGGATGGACACACATACCCCAGTTGCCCAGTCTCCACACACGCTTCCCCCTCTCCATCATCACGAGGATGGAAGAATACATCCTGGGCCAAGAGGAAGAAACACTGTAGTTCTTCCATATATTACCCAACTTCTGTCCCAGTGTTCTCTGGTTTTCAAAGGATGGGAATCTGTTCCAACTTTCCCCTAGGCTGGTGTGAGGACCCTGTGAGAGCTTGGGGCACCTGGCTTCGGGGCAGTCTTGTCTGACGCAAGGTGGATGTTTGGTTGCTGGCCCACTTGCGTAGGTGGGCGAGAAACTGTCCATTTGTCAGAGTCTGGAGCGCTGGATATTGGCGGCGCGCTGCCATCAGTCCCGGCTGCGCGCGGGGCGGGGCTTCGGGGCGCGGGGCGGGATTGGCCGGCCGTGTTCATTGGGCCCCACCCCCAAACAAAATGACTACTTTACACTGCGGCGGCCGGAGGGTGAGGTGGGTGCGTGGTGACGTCATCGCGCCGGCTCCTCCCAACGCAGGAGGCGGGCTCCGAGACACCCGTGGATGCAGCTGTGTGAGGTGAGGGCTGGGCTAGGCGGGGCGGGGCGGGGCGGGAAAGGGTTCCTAGTGGGGTTGACTCGACCCGGGCCTGAAGGGCTTCTCTTCTCGCAGACCATGGGGGCTCAGCAGAGCGGCGGCCAGGGCGTCCTGGAGCCCGCACAGCCACAGCCAGCGGCACCCGAGGGCGCGGAGCGACCCGGGCCTCAGCCACAGGCTGAGCCCAGCCCGTGGGGCCCGCTGGATGACGTGCGCTTCCTCATCGCCTGCACCTCCTGGTACTGACTCCGGAGGATGCGGCCCGCCTGCTGCCTCCTGTCCTCCTTGCCTGCCTTGGTCCACGCCCCTGTGTCTGTCTTACCGTCCCTCTCCCACCTTGAGTGCTCTGGAGACCATGGAGAATTCGAAGAGGTCGCCTGGGACTGGAAGCCCCCAGCCTGCACCCAAACCCAGCTCAGACCTTCATACACTCCCCCCTTCTCTTCAGCTGTCTGGGTCCTGGGGGGTCCCTCCCTGTCACTGTCTTCCAGTACCAGGCAAGGGCTCCTGACCTTGTTTGCCCCTTATTGCCGAGAACCAAGCTCATGCCTGTGTCCCAGGTCATGGCACCATGTGCCTTGACTTCAGAGATGATCTTGCCACAATGACCCTCCCCATACTCCTCCTGAAGGGGGTTATTCCCCTATCCTGGATCCAAATGAGGTGTCATCAAGCTGTATTCCTGGGACCTCATTAACATCGGGCCTCCAGGGCCAGCCTTTTGAAGAGGAAGGACATCTGATTGCTGGTCTGGCAGATGAGATTTGTGAGGCAGCTCCCAGATACCCCAAAGCACCCTGTTCTCCCAGAAGCTTCTTAAGCTCACTCTTAGAACCTGATCTTTGTTCCCACGTCCCAGGAAAGTGACACACTCTGTATTTCTGTTTTATTTAGAAATGATTTAAAAAACATTATACAAAGGCTGATCAGTTTAAAATGTGACTGACACTGAAATGCTGTGATGTTCCCCAGGCTGAGGGGAAGCCGGGCTCTGGGGCCCCCAGTGCTTTGCCCCTCTGTCTATCTGCCCTGTCCTGGGGTGGTGGACAAACAGATGACAACAGGCAGGAGTATCTGAGATTGGAAGCCTCTAGGCTGAGCCCTCTCTGGGCCTGGCCCCACATCCCTCGTCTGCAGCCTGGTCTGCCTGCCCCATCCCCTGCTCTTTCTCAGCTGGCCTAGGTAGTACCAGGAGCCAGTGGGGAGCCTGGCGGGAGGTGGGGGGTGCCTAGAGCTTTCAAGAAGTGAGAGCACCAACCTGAGGAATGGAGAGGGACCAGCAAGGGAGGCCAGGAAGAGATGGATAGAGGAGACACGTCTCATCTCAGACCCTACAGGGTCCACAGATGGGGACATGAGACCCAGCCAACCCACTGGATGGCCTGGGCAAGTTAACAGAACCTCTCTGTGCTTCATCTGAGGGCATGATGAGAGTTACCCTCGGCCTCCCAGGGCCTACAGGAGTTTCATGTGAGTGGACAGGTGTGAGCTAATAAAGTGCTTTGCAAAGTATAAAACACTGTACAAACCTATGAATCACTAATATCTCCGCAGTTGTTCCCTGCCTGCCCCAGGGAGCCTGCCCTTGGCCAAAATGAACAAACAAGGATGATGACAGGGGACACAGTGGACCCACATAGGCGCCTCTGGGACGAGAGATTTTGCTTGAGACAGCTCCCAGGGCAGCAGGAGTCCCTGTCTGTGCTACAGGGTAAGCCGACCCAAAGCCCAGGAGCCACAGGGTGAGGGCATGGCCCATGCAGGCTCAGAGGGCGGGGTGGCAATTGGGATCCTGCCAGCACCCTGAAGACTGCCTGACACCTCTTTTTGGCTTTGGCAAAGAGCCAGTGGGCATTGCTGAACCCACTGGTCTTGCCTAGGGCTCCTCAGTGACAAGCAGGACTACCTCTGCTGGACTGGGGCAAGGCAAGCTGAGCCCTGGGAACCCTGTCAGAGACAGTGAAGGGTGGGCCAGACAAGGTCAAAAAAGGAGGCCCCTAGGCTTGGGGCTGCTACCAGTTGAGGGTGCCCTTTAACCGAGAGCAGTGCAGGAAGATGGCCCCTTGAGCTGGGTCAGCCAGGGCCAGGGGGTGAACACTGCTTCTGGGCCAAGAAACTGAGTTGGCCTCAGGGTGGTCTCAGAGCATTCCAGAAGGCTGTCCTGGGCCCTTACTCCCAGGCCCTGCCAGTGTTGGCCCTACAGCCATCTCTGCCTCGACTAGTCAGGTTGAGACCCAGGTCACAAGTGCCAGGCTGGGGCAGGGCTGGGGACAGAGCAAGGAGGGACAGGGACAGGGATAATGGGAGGGAATAGAGGACAGTCACAAACTTGGATTGGCCTCCAGAAACGGGGTCAGCTTCTGCTCCAACTCTGTAGCTTCATGAGCAGGGAGTAGCTCCTGGGGTGTCTGGGCGCTAGAGTGGCCTTAGCAGCACCTTGGTCCTTATCACCTGGGGGAGGGCCGCCACGCTGGCCTCATCACCAAGACAGTCACCTCTAGTTCACCTAACGCCTCAAGCAGCCTTTGCAAAATGGGACTTTAAACAGTAGTGACAGGACATTTAAATACGATGTGACAGCTGGGTCCTTGTCAGACCCAGGTGGGCCACAGCCCTGCCTGCAGCATGTGACCCTAAGTCCTGGGTCTCGGAGGAGACCCTGACAAGTGGAACAGGTTTCCTGAGGGGTCTGCTGTATGCCAGCAGGGGAAACCCAGGCTTGTTGCCCACTGTGTCAGCAGCAGGGGTCCTGTAGCCTTGGAGGACAGTGGGGTGGGGGTGGGGTGACATCTGACCAGCAGGTGTTGGCAAAAGGGGATGGGGACTGGTGGCATCTCCCAGTTGGGGGATGAGAGCTAGTGCTGGCTTCCCACAGAGGGTGCTGGGTCCCAGCCAGGAAGACACCACAGGATGCAGTGACCACAGGGGCTCTCCTGGCATGGTCCCTGCCTCCTGGTGAGGCCTGGCTTACTCCCTTGAATAGAGAGTACTTTACCCAGGACAGAAGGCTGGCAGCTTGGTGCCAGACACCCACCCTGGGACACAGCTCCCATCGCTCCCTGCCCCACACTCAGCCTAGGCCAATGCACCCACCACTTCAGCTGTATGACCCGGCCTAGGGCCCTGCTGGCCCCGGTGGGCAGTGGCCAGAGCTGCCCCTCAGACCCTGGTGAGTAAGGGCCTGGCTGGCCAGACCGAGTGGACAGAGAGGGCTCTGGGCTACTCACACCCACTCCTGGACTGGCCGCTTATAGTAGGTGACAGGCTGAGGGCCTGCCTTGTTCTTGAACTGGAAGATGGTGTAGACCAGCACCAGGATGCAGAGGGACAGGATGCAGGGGATGACCACAGCCACGGCGTTCACAGAGCCTGGCATGTCGTTGATGGTCACCATGATGTCCACGTCGTCCTGGGGCAGCCGCCGCTCCTTGCGCCGCTCCACCTCCTTCTGGTTGCAGCCCATCCAGTCACGCAGGATGTTGCGCGGGTAGCCTGGCTCCACGCTCAGTTTTTGGTTGTCAAACTTCCAGTAGTCCCGGCCTTTGTAGAAGTAGGTATAATCTGCAGAAATGCAGCCCAGCGTCACCACTCCCAGACACTTCCAGACACCTGCCCTGGTAGTGTGAGAGGGACAGGGTACTGGGGCAGCAAGGGGGTCAGGCCGAGCTCGGCTGAATCAGGCCAGTAAAAACACAGCTGCAGCTGCAGGTAGGGGCACCCAGGACCTGGAGGGGCCATGTGTTGTCTCAAAGGTCCTGGGAAACCACTGAGAGGCTTTAGGTAGAATTGGGACACATGTTCAATTTGTGCCACCCAGACAAGACCCTTCTCAGCCTGGGGTCACAGCTCTGTCACACTGTGCCCACAGGCCCCTTAGGGAGGTCCTGTCAAGCCCCCAACTTAATGCTTGGACAGCACTGTCTCCCTAGCTCTAGGGCCTCAGTCTGGCTCCTGCTTGAACCAACGGAGTCAGGGAGCAAGATTTCTCCTTTTGTTGACAGCAGACACTGCCTCTCTGTAACTATGAATTCTTTTGGCTTAACATACATCACACACAGATGCAGGGTCTCTGGGACCGTTGTGGGGGAGGGAGAAATAAGTTTTTTAAATTTATGAGACATTTCCCATGCTCCTCCTGGAGGCCTGGTAGCCACCAGCCCCCACGGCTGCTATCAGGCGCTCACACTGTGTCCCCACCAGACTAGGAGCTTCTCAGGGAGAGGAGGCAGGCAGCCCTGCCAATCACTCCTTGAGCAGCCACCCCAGGGCTCCAGCAACAGCGTCCACAGGGGACAAAGCAGCTCATTCAAATGCTCCTCATTGGCCAGCTCCCCACCCTGGCTGGGACTTTCATTGGTCAAGATCCTTGATGTCACTTGTCTCTGAGGCTTCCCCAAAAGGGAGACCGTGTGCGTAAAGCATCAGGTAGACAGGAGAGGCAGCAAATAGCAGCTCTGCCCCAGTAGCCACTGGCTTTCTTGCCAGTGACACCTCCTAGGAGAGCCCCTCCCCAGCTATCTCTAACAAGGGCCCTCCAGCTAGTCACTCTCTCACAGCATTTACTTCCCTTATAGCATTTGTTGCCACCGTTATTTGTTTTCTGCCACTAGACTGGGAGCTATGCAATTCTTGTTCACTGCCACCTCCCCAGCCCCCACCAAAGAAGCTGGCTCTCAGTAATTGTTATGCAGTGAATGAATGAATCCTGTCTTTCTACATAAACTGAGTGCACCAAGATGATGATGATGATGATGATAGCAGCTAAAACTTATATAGCTTGGATCGTGTGCTAGGCAATATTGTAAGTGCTCTACATAATTTTGCTTATTTAGTCCTCATAAAGCCATTATATAAAGGCAGGTACCATTGTTATCCCCATTTTATAGAGGAGAAAACTGAGACGTAAGAGATGGAGGTGGTATGGGAACCCAGCTAACCTGGCTCCAGAGTCTGTGCTTTTGACCAGATGGAGTATTTGGCAAACACTCATGGATACCCACTCTGCACTTGGCCGGCCTGGCTCCTCTTCCTGAGAAGCTCCTAGTCTGGTGGGGAGACGGATTATGAGATGGGCAGCCATGGGGGCTGGTGGCCACCTGGCCTCCAGGAGGAGCATGCGACATGTCTCATAAATTAAAAAACCTTTCTCTCCATCTTCCTGCCCTGAGGCTGTGTGAAAAGCTGCCTTTGAACCACCCATGTCCATCCCTGCTTTTCAGATCTGGTAACTCGAGGAGCCCCTGGCGCACAGCTGAGGACCACTGTGTGAGAAATGCCTTCTTAAGGAGTGAAGTCAGTCTATGAAAACATCTCTCAATCGTGAATCATTCTTGCAGATGAAAAACTGTGACTTGATCTACTGTACGGACGTGGCTAGACATGAGGCAGGTGTCTGCCACCAGCTGGTTTCTCAAACCTGGATTCCCTGAGTGTTTGTCCATGGCACTGATGAGAACCACACAGAATCAGCTCCCCCAACCCCGCCGGCCCTGCCCTTACGTACAGCCTTCCTTGCTGATGAAGGCCCCCTGGGGGGCTTGCGGGATGCCCTTCCACACGGTGATGGGCTTGGGGTAGCCGGGGTCCGTGGCCCGCCGCTCCTCGCTGTAGCGCCAGTACCGCTCGCCTTTGAAAAAGTAGGTCTTGCCCACAGGCTCCCAGCGCAGAGCCGTGTCGATGCCTTCCCGGGGAAGACAGCTGCCCAGCTCGCCCAGGCTGTGTGGGTACCCAGGCTCCACCGTCACCTCCTTAAACACCCAGTACTTGTCACCTGTGGCCAAGAGGAGCCCAGGGTCACTCCTCCGCCATCACTCGGGGCCAGAGGTGTGGCCAGTGCTGCTTGCCCAGCATCAGAGTGTGGGGGAAGGAGAGCCCTCGGTTGGCTTGATCCCCTTGGCCCTTGGCCGGGCAGAGCTTGGGGGCAGGAAGCCAGAAGCCAGTCATGCATCCTGGATGCCTTGCCCTGTGCCGCCTGGGCTCCGCACCCTGCCCGCTTTTCATGCGACATGGGCCTCTCCTCTCTGGTGACCTCGGCTACTCCTACTCCCCCAACCTCTCCCAATGACACTAGCTCTGGGGCTCTCCCGTCCCAGACACCCTAACCCCCCATGGCCTCCCAGAGCTCCTCATCTGCACCACAGCAGGGCTCTCTCCTCACCGCCTTCTATCTCTCAGGTCCCCAAAAGGGACCCTCATCTTCGACCCTCTGCTTCTTTGCTTCTCTCAGAAAGAGGCCTTCTGAGCCTCCTCGCAGCTTGCCTGGCCCTCCAGCATGGGCGGTGCTCTCCCCTGCCAGGACCCCCTCAGAAACAGCCGCCCTCCTCTGCCCTGCCGCGCAGAGCCCGATGGCTCTCTGCCGCGCAGAAACACTCAGTGAATTTGCAGCCTTGGCCTAATGGATCTGGACCACATTCTGGCCTGGCAGCCAAGCCTCTTCGGGATGCGTCCCCACGCGACCTTTCTAGGCCACTACTCACAGCTCTCACGTGGCCGTCAGGTGGGTCTGCTAACCCTTTGTACGACCAGGCATGTCCCACCACAGCTCCTTCACTCAGGCCGTCTGTCCCTCCAGAGTGCCTTCCTTGCTTCTTGCTAACTCTCTGAATCTCAGCCATCTTGGGCCTGGCCCAAGTCAGGATAATTGTTGTGAAACAACCCAGCATGGTGCTGGGCACAAGATGGGCACCCTAGCCCCATCTCCTCTCCCTCCCCTGACCTCTGCAGCCCATGTGACCTCCCTCTGGGCTCTTACAGAACAGACAGGATGGCCCTCCATGGAGCACTGAGTGGTCGTCAATTGCCCATCCCGCCCTCTGCCTCATGCAGATGAAGCCTGTCACCCCACCAACCTTGGCACATACGGACCCTCAATAATCACTTCCTGACTTGATTTCCCCTGTGCATCACCTGCCTGGGGGGATCTGTCCTGTCAGAGTTCAGTGTCTCTTAGGGCTAGAAGGGTGGTTGGAGGGCATCTGCTTCCCACCCTGCCTCTTCCGGTTTAGATGGGGAAAAGGCCATACCAAGAAGCACAGGGGACTGTTCCAGGTCCCACAGCACAGGCTGCATTACCTTTGAAGAAGACAAATCTTCCATCAGCCCTTTCGTAGGCTGCGTCTATGCGGGCAGGCAGGCCCTTCCAGAACTGCTCGATCTGCATGGGGTAGCCCTCCTGCACCCGGTTATTGCGCAGGCGCCAGAACCAGCGATCCTGGGAGGAAATGGGGGAGAGAGGCATGTTGGCCCCACCTCTGGACCCAGTGATCTCAGCTCTGGGGCTCAGGCCCCAGTAACCCCACACCTTCCCTGCACCCAGCCTTGCAACCCTCCATGGGTCTGTCCATCTACTGCTTCTAACTTTCTAACCCTGTGAGGAAGACAGGGTGCTCCTGTGACCCTCCTCATTTGAGCCTCCCGATGGCTCTTGCCTGGCAGTTATGAGACGGAGCAGACAGGCCTGGTGCAGGAGAAGGGGTGCAAGGGAGCTGCAGAGGGTGCCTCCCAGGCCTGGAGTGACCACGTGAGGGCAGCCACGAGTCACTGACGTCAGCTGGGCCAGTTCTCAGCAGGGTGGGAAGTACAGGGTGGTCAGCGAGACTGGGCAGAGCGCCCTCCGCGGGGCTAGCTCCAGCCAGCAGGCGGGGACCTTGGGAAGACCATGCCGTGGGAATTCCCTCAAGACCTGGGTGAATTCAGGTTCCTCTGCTGACAGCTGCGTGACTCAGGGTCTCACTGCAAGTGTGGGCAATAATGGAGGATCCAAAGAGGGATTCTAGGCAAAGTGCCCAGATCAGTATAGGGCACACACCAAGAGTCCAATAAAAACCGCTCCTCTTCTAACTGGTGCCCTGTCCCCACCGCAGCCCTTGGCCGGGAGGCACTCTAGGCAAGGCCTGTGGCCTCCTAGGACCTCAGGTTTCTTATGTGTAAATGGGGATAAAACCTAGACTTGCCTATGAACGGTTCAGTTGAGAGGATCAAAGAAAAGTGAGTGTAGAAGAAGGAATGGGATTCATAAAAGATGGTACAAAAGCTAGTATTTTTAAACGGTGTTTTACATACCACTTTCGCATCCAGTTTTTTAACCTTACTTTTCCTTTTATGACTCTGCTAAGTCCATCTGAGATATACAGAGTCTTAAGAAAGGCCAAGGGACTGACTGAGAGCCACTCTGTGAGGGGCTGGACTGGGCTGACCCACGCCTGCTTCTTGCTCAGGGTCTGAAGCTTGCTGGGGAGGACTTCACGAGGGGCGTGAGGCGCCCTCCTCACTCAGAGCGATGGACACACGCCACTCAGATGCCCCTCAGCGAAGGGCTGACTGCCCCAGCAGCTGGGGGGGGGTGGTTGGCAGGGAGTTTTCTACTGTCAGTCCCTCTGGGGACGGTCTCAGCTTCAGGGAGCTTCGCTCCAGTTCATGCCCTTCCTCTTCCAATGGCTGAGGCAGGGGGTATAAAGGTCCAGCCTTCTGGGGCCCAGTGCGGCATGGCTCTGACAGAGCTTCCTGCAGGGGCGGCCAAGTCTGCAAGGGGCCTACGTTCCCGCATGACTGCTCCTTCTGCTGGCTCCTGCTTCCTTCTCCTCCTTCCCCCAGATGTTGATCCCAAAGGCACCCCCCAATCAAAATCCTATGTTCCACACACCCACTCGGGGTCTGCTCCCTGGGAACCCAACCTGCAGCGCACCAGGCAGGCTGCTGCCCGGTTAGCCTGTGGCTGAAGTGACAGGCACAGGACAGAGACCAGAGGTAGCCTGGCCAGTAGCAGCCTCTCAGGCCCTGGTAGGATCTGGAGTCAGACCCAGCCCCCACCAACCCAGCCCCTACTCCAAGCCTGCCCTCTCCATAGCCGGTACTCATTTGGTCTTCACACATCCTTTGTTAGAGGAATGACTCCCCCAGGTTTCAGATGGGGAAACTGAGGTCCAGAGAAGGGAGGCGGCAGAAGCCAGTCTCCAGCATTTCCCAGCGTTAACCCGGGAAGGTGCGGCAGCATCACCAGTCTTTCCCCTCCCTCTTGGAAACAAATTGAGTCACTGGGCAGCACCAGGAAGAGACCCCATGTCCTGGCCACTGGGCCAGCTCTCATGCGGGCCCCACAGCAGCCTAATCTCGGGGGTGGGAGTATGGGGCAGGGGAGAGTCAACTGGCCCCACCTTAAACACAAACATCTCGCCCCGGAAGAGGGCCACAGTGTTGAAGTTGCCATCACAGATGTTGGGTTTGGCGCCTGGTGTGGATGGCCGGTCCCCGAGCGGTGGCCGAGGCGGCCTGGGCTGGCGCTCATGCTTCCTCTCCGATGGTGAGTGGATCCTGCGGACGGGGAGCGTGGGGAGTGGCCTCGTGGGCTCCAGCGGCTCTGCTGGGGGTCCTGGAGAGAGGGGCCGCATCTTAGAGAGGGGCCAAGCCGTTCCCTGCCCCCTACAGCCATGGCCCATCATCCCCCAGGCAGTTCTGAGCCAGGTCTGCCACATGCCACCTCCTGTCCCCTCTCCCCAATGCAGCTCCCCAATCTTTGAGAAAATAGATGAAAATCAGCATTAGAAGGGAACTCTCATCTTTCCACTCCAAACCTAGTATCTTTCTCTTTTTTCTCTCCTGTCACAGAGCGAGCGTGTCCTTCCTTAGGGCCAGTGTCCCATGCACTCTCTCTCTGCCCCTCTTCATTCTTTATCCCACCCCATGCAGCTTCTGTCCCGTCACCCATTCCAGCTGCTCCATCCATCAAGATCACCAGTGACCGCCATGTTGCCACATCCAATCATTACTCGACTCAAACTTGGATGAGCATAGAAATCATCTGGGGGTTCTGGATAAGATGCAGGTTAGGGCTTAGAGGGCCTGAGCGTCTGCATGTCTTCCAGTTCTAGGCTGATGCCCATGTGGCTGGTCTGAGGCCCACACTTTGAGCAGCAAGATCACAGAAACAGTTGCCTTGAGACACCCTCCTCTCTTTTCCAGGGCCCTGTACTCTCTTGGTTTTCCTCCTTCCTTGTGGCTGTTCCCTCTCAGCCTCCTCTGCTGGCCGCCTGTCCTCATCTGCCCTACACTAAAGGTCGGAGTGCCCCTGGGTCCTCTTCTCTCTCTACATTTTCGTCCCTAGGTTAGTGCTTCTCAACTTGGGCTGCATATTAGGGCCACGGAGGGAGATTTTAAACTCTGTCTGCTCAGGAGGCACCCAGACCAACTAAACTCAGATCTCTGGGGGTGGCATCCCAAGGTCGTTCCAAAGGGCAGCCAAGTTGAGAATCGGTACTCTAGGTGGCATCGTCCAGCTTCATGGCTTTAAAGGCCTTCTGTGTCAGAGCCATCCAGTAGGATGTTCTGTGCTGTTGGAAATGTTCCCTATTTGCACTGTTCAGTACAGTAGCCTCTAGCCACAGCGGCATGTGGCTACTGAGCACTTGAAATGAATGACTAGTTCTTGGTGTGACTGAGGAACTGGAATTTTAATTTAATTTGATTATAACTACCATAAACTTAAATTTCAATAGCCACATGTGACTAGTGGTTACTGTATTAGACACCAAAGATCCCAAATCAATATCCCAGCCCAGATTTTGGAGCTGCAGGTAAATCCTGTTGTCTCACAATTACAAAAGCCAGAAACCTTGGGGTTATCCTTTACTCTCCCTCCTTGCCCTCACCCCCACATCTGATGTGTCAGCAGATCCTGTCCTTTCTACCTTTGAAATACCTCCTGGCACCTGCTGCCCCCACCTGGTGCTCTGCTGCCTCCCCCGTGCAGGTCAGGGCTCGGAGTGGGGCATTTCCCCACAGGGAGGCCTCCTCCTGTGCTGCAGTCCGGGCTGTGGGGCCTGTGCTGTGTTGACAAGCCTTTGTGCAAATAAACCGGTTGTCTCTTCTCACCTGACTTGAGCGGAACAAGACCTTCACATACCAGGGTGAACTGAACTGGGAGAGAGGCGTGGTATGAGGCCCTTCATACCTTAGCCAGACAGCAGGAGCTTCTCATTTTTTTTTTTCCTCTTTTAAGAACAAAGCTCTGGTTACCATACTTGTCACATTGTGGACCTCCCTGGCTAGAGGTGGGACTCTGAGGTGCTCAGTCACCATCTGGCAAAGGACGGAGGCAAGTGCTGGAGGTGAGAGGGAGGTGTGTGGAGGGGAGGTAAAGAAGAGGGCATGGGGGCCCTGTCCTCGCTTTTGTCCTTCCCCGTTACAGCTCAGCCCCTCCCGAGTGTGCCGGGGGAAGCCTGTCCTCTCTGGCCAGGCAAAGACGATAGAAGTCTATAAAGGTCGCACAGCTGGAGCCACAGCAGCAGTGCGGAGGATGGCAGCGCTCCCCCCCCACCCCTCCCCTCCACACACACACACCATAGATCTTCTGGATGCCCTGGAGATCGTCCTGGGGCAGCTTGAAGTTGTGTGTCTCCATGTACTGGTAGAAGGGAGCCATGATGGCGCTGGGGTCGTTGGAGTGCTCCAGTCCCAGGGCATGGCCCAGCTCGTGCACAGCCACCAGGAAGAGGTCGTTCCCTGCGGAGAGGGGCATGGGGAGGTGCCCAGGGCACACTGAGAGGTCAGTTAGTCAGCAGACGCCGAGCACATGCCTCGTGCCAGGCCCTGGGGACACACGGAGAAATGAGACCCAACCCTGCTCTCCAGACCTCTCCACAGAGTGGGGATAAGGAGAAAGAAGACGAGGGAAGCCCAGTGTTCTGGGTGCTTCAGAGATGTCTATAAGGGTCGAGTGGGGATTCTGAGCGGGGCCGGGGGGGGGGGTCGTTTAAACTTGGAGGAAGTATCATAAAGGTGAGTCTTGGAAGATACGAAGTGGGGAGAATGGATTCAGAGGGAGGAGAGGTAGGGGTGGGGGTGGCGCTCCTGGCACAGGGACTGCTAGAAACATGCTCCAGGGACAGGCAGTTTCCTTCCACTTGGCTCTGGAACAGAGCAGGAGGGGAGGGCAGAGCGCGATGAGGTCAGCCAGGCTGGCGAGCGGGGCTGTGATGCCATGCAGAGGAGTTTGGATGCTTCTCGGCCAGTGGGGGCTTTGGCAGGGGCGGGGGTGGTGATAGGATGAAATCACTGTAGCTGAGGCTGGGAGAGGATTAGAGGGAACAGGCCCTGAGGCAGGGGGAGCAGTGGGGTCAGCCTGGAGGCCCACCCTAGTCCTGGGGTCCAGGAGAGCAGGCGGGCACAGGCAGCAGTGGGAGCCCGGGAGTAGGCAGGGCCTGGCTGGGGCAGCTCTCAGGCAGCAGGACCTCAGCTCCAGAACTGAGCTATTGGCCAATATCGAGGCAGTGTGGTTCAAGGGCAGGTGAAAACACAATCCAGGTGGAACTGAGGCAGCTGCACGGCTGGTGGTTACAAGCCTGGGCCCCTGAGCGTAGTGCCAGCGCTGCCATCTCTCCCCCTGCAGCTCGGTGAATTTGGCCAGTGGGTCTACCTGAGCCTCAGTGTCCTTACTTATAAAATGAGGATCATACCTACCCCACTGGGTTGTGTGAGGATTGAATAAAATACACTTAACGTGTGGGGCGTGGCACTGAGTGGTAGCTGCCGTTGTCATCCTGTGTAGGAAGCTTGGTCACAGGGAAGCCCAATGACCAGAAAGGAAGCACAAGGCCAGTGGAGTTGCAACAACCAGATCCTCTTAAAGCCAACTGCAGCGAGCTCCCATGTTAGGCCTGTGACAGGGCCAGGCCTGACATTGGGGGGATGAAGTAACCCCAGCTTTGGCAAAGAAACACGAGCGGCAGGGAGTTGGGCAGCCATTGTACTGACAGTCCTGGCTCCTGTCTGCCCAGGTACAGACCTTTGCTTGTCTTGACCTCTGGCATCCATTGCCCCTTGAGCCCTGCCTCTTATCTCCTGGCCCTAAGGTGTGTCTTAGCCCATTCCTGCTACCTCTGAGTCCAGGGAAGGTGCCAGGAGTCTAGGAGGTGGTCAGGAGTCCTATTGCCCACTGTGGCCCCAGCGTCACTGGCAAAGTAGCCCTGTCCCAGCCCAGCCGAGGGCCCCAGGGGGGTCATATGGGAGTTGGCATTGTTTGGCCTTCCTGACTAAGGTCTTGGGAAAGTAGAACCCCCATGGGGTAGACCAGGCCGCAGGAAGTGTGTGCCTGCAGTTCTACTGACACCACCCATGTTTTCAGCGAAGCCTCCTTTGAGCAACAGAAAGGAAGGGGGATGGGCAAGATCAGTGCAAGGTTGGCCAAAAGCCTGGGGCTGGCCTTCTGCTGGCGAAGGGCGAGCTGGCGCGAGAAGGCCAGGCCGCCCCCAGCTCCTTCCTCAGGTCCTGGTCCTCTGGCAGCAGGGAACGGTGAGCTCATCTCTGAGCTCCATCCCAAAGAAAGGCGGCTGCTAGCGCCAGCGGAAGGCAGCTCTGCTTCCTGGGGTCCAGTCCTGGCTCAGCTCCTGGCCTGTCCCATGAGCTGGGACAAGCTGTTCAGGGCCTCTGTTTCCCGACAAGGCTCTTCCTCAGGGGCCATCCATGGCGATCTCAGCTGGGGACTGGGGAGCAGGGCTCTGAGCACCTGGGGAGGCTCTAATCCTTTGTCCACGGCCTGTGTCTACTACTCTCCTAGCCTCTGCGCCTGGGTCTGCAGAGAACAGAGTAATCCCTTAAAGGAAAGTGGCCCATGGGTTGGGTCCAGGGACCAAAAGGAAGGGCAGAGCTGGGAGCCGGCCTCCTGCTGCACAGAAACCCCAGAGGCCTCTGGGGGAGCTGGAAGCAGAGGGCTCCCTGAGCCTGTGACCTGTGACGGGAGGGCCAAGGTGCGAGGAGGAGGGGCCCGCTGTGCAGAAGACCCCAGTGCTTCTTGGGCAGGAGGCTGTTAGGGGCCTCACTCCCCAGGAGTGTGAGAGGCCGGGAAGTGGAGTGGTCAGGAGTGCAGTCTCTGGGAGCCACACTGCCTGGTTTGAATCCTAGCTCTGCCATGCCCTAGCAATGTGACATTTAAAATCTCTTCCTCTGTAAGATGAAGGGAACAATGGCACCTTCATCGTAAGAACGGGGGTGAAGATTAATGAGGCAAGGCATGTAACGCGCTCATCTGCCTCCTGGCACAGAAGTATTGCTCTTTATTAGCAAGGTCATGTTGAGCTGTGAGGACCAGCGCCCCCTGATAGGGGGTGTTCCTGTCAGTCCCTGGGCCTCCAAGCAATCCCCAGCGGTCTCCTGGGCTACTCAAGTGGACCTTGTCTCTGCACCATTCCCTTCTCTTTAGAACCTCCATATATGGTGATTCCCATCTCATCAACGCCCCCAGACTCCCAAGGGTTATAGCATTTCCTTTCGCCTCTGTTCTTCTGCCAGTGCTGTTCCCTGCACCTGGAATAACCTTACTCCTTCCAAGTTCAGCTCAGTGCCTCTCTTCCAGGAAGCCTTCCTTGGTTTCCCAGCCAGCAGGGCGTGCTCCCTCCTCTGCACTCTCTGGCATTGACTGCCGTCTGCCCCACATTATCACTGCAGTGTGCACTCTCATCCGCCCCAGGACTGTGGGCTCCCTGAGGGCAAGCTTTGTGCTCGACAGGGTGAAGTGACAACACCCAGCATGGAACAATGCCAGGAGCTCAATATTTTTCCAAGGGTGGTCCTTGGATCACCTGCAGCAGAACCAACTGTTAAAAATGCAGGGTCCTAGGCCGGGCGCTGTGGCTCACGCCTGTAATCCTAGCTCTTGGGAGGCCGAGGCGGGCGGATTGCTCAAGGTCAGGAGTTCAAAACCAGCCTGAGCAAGAGCGAGACCCCCGTCTCTACTATAAATAGAAAGAAATTAATTGGCCAACTGATATATATATATAAAAAATTAGCTGGGCATGGTGGCGCATGCCTGTAGTCCCAGCTACTCGGGAGGCTGAGGCAGAAGGATCACTCAAGCCCAGGAGTTTGAGGTTGCTGTGAGCTAGGCTGACGCCACGGCACTCACTCTAGCCTGGACAACAAAGTGAGACTCTGTCTCAAAAAAAAAAAAAAAAAAAAATGCAGGGTCCTGGGTCCCACCTGTCTCTGCCACTTTCCAACTAAATTTCTTTTTACTTTTTATTCATTTTAATTACTTTTTTGAGATAGAGGTTGGGGGGAGTCTCACTATGTTGCTCAGGCTGGTCTGGACTCCTGGCCTCAAGCAATTCTCCTACCTTGGCCTCCCAAGTAGCTGGGATTACAGGTGTGAGCCAGCTCAAGAAATTCACCTTCCTGCTCTGTAAAATGGGGATTATAACTGCTGGCCCGCCTCCTGGGGGTGGGGAGAGGGTTATCGAGGTAAGCATGGAAGGGCTCTGCTCTGTGGAGAAGGGTATGGTCATGGCGACTTTTCCTGTCTTGTCACCTCCCCTACACAGGAGCAGCTCAGGGCTGGGCTCCCTCCCAGCAGAGCTTAGTGACTATCTGCTGACTTCACTGCTTGACTCATTTGAAAGAAATGAGGACAGACAACGCCTGAAAGTAGCCCCAGAAACAGACTTAAAGGTCTGGTGGCCGAGCTGGCCCCTCCACACAGACTCTAGTTGGGGTGGGGGGAGGAACGCAGAACCACCTTGGGGATCAGTGGCTCTCTGGGGTATGAGGTTCTGATTGAGGAGGTTTGGATTGGCATGTGGGTAAGTAACTTTTTTTTTTAAGTCCCCAGGTGAATTATATAATGGTTGGGATGGGCTGACACAACCTGAACCAAATGCTCAACTGTCACGTCACCAAAAGTGGGGCAACCCGCATCGTACGTGCTTCCCGATGGGATGACCAGGAAGTACCAGCACCACGTAGGAAGTATCCTTGCCAGAAACGTGAACCTCAATCTGGTCAGGCCTGTGGCTCTAATTAACAATATTAAGGAATTATGGGGGAGGGAGACACGTTAAAAGCGAACCTGAATCTAGTCAGGCCAAATGACTGTCTCGGGACACACGCACGAAGCAGTTTGTTCAGCAGCTATATGGAGGGAAACGTGTTGGGGGGTGTTTTCAATTAAAAGCATTTTAAGAGCCACGTCAGCCACGTGTGATGTGTGAACTTGTTTGGATCCTGATTCAGGCAAACCACCGTAAAAGACATTTTTGAGGTAATTTGGGAAAGGGAACACAAACTGGGTATTAGATTTTAGGAAATGGTTAAGTTTGTTGAGTTTTTTTTGTTTTTTGTTTTTTGTTTTTGAGACAGAGTCTCGCTTTGTTTTCCCAGGCTAGAGTGAGTACCATGGCGTCAGCCTAGCTCACAGCAACCTCAAACTCCTGGGCTCAAGCGATCCGCCTGCCTCAGCCTCCCAAGTAGCTGGGACTACAGGCCTGCGCCACCATGCCCAGCTAAATTTTTCTATATATATTAGTTGGCCAATTAATTTCTTTCTGTTTATAGTAGAGACGGGGGTCTCACTCTTGCTCAGGCTGGTTTCGAACTCCTGACCTCGAGCAATCCACCCGCCTCAGCCTCCCAGAGTGCTAGGATTACAGGCGAGAGCCGCCGCGCCCAGCTAGTTTGTTGGGTTTGATAATGATTTTGTGGTTATGTTAAAAGTCAATCTGTTAGGTGCACACCAATGTGTTTACAGGTGAAATGAGGTCGTGTCTAGGATTTTCTTTGAGATACACCAGCCAGAAAATAAAAGTGGTTGTGGGTATATGAAATAGGAACGGCACAATGTTGATAGCTGCTGAAGCAGGTTGGGGGGACCCGGGGAATAATACCATTCTCCCTGCTTTTGTGAGTTGGAAGTTTTTCATAACGAAAGATTAGATAAAAAGAAGGCAAATCATCAAAAAATTCCCAAGAAATTCTACTCCCTCCCTCCCTCCCTGAGTCTACAAGATTAAATGAGATAATATACAGGTGCTCAATAAATCTTGGTTCCTTTCCTCTCATTCCAAAACCTGTCTTTGGGCGATCCGTGGCATTCCAGTTCACCAGCCAGGGTCTATTGCTGCAGTTATGAGCTGGGTCTGGACAGAACATTCTTGGTTTTCCAGAGCAGAGCAAAGTCCTGACTCTTCTCCAAAGAAGACAGTAGCCATCTTGGGATTTCTATCAGAATTGGTGATCTTTCACCAAAGGTGGAGTGGGACAGATGCGGGGGTGCTGGGACGGTGCCACAGGTCCCAGGTCTTTCCCACTCACACCACCGGTTCTTGGGACTTGGGGGCTGGGCCCAACAAGTTCTCCAGCAGCAAGTGGGTGTGTGAAGGGCACACCCCCAGTGCTGGGCAGAAAGGGAGGGTGGAGGGGTGGGGGTGTCTTCCCAGTGCCTCGTTTGGACAACACCCTTTTGAAAATTCATTTGTCTTTATCAGGGATATGACTAAAACCTTATCAGCTAACAGTGCCTGGCACATAACAGGGCCTCAAAAAGGTTAGTTCTCTTCTGCTCACACCTTATCAGTTAGCACAGACAGCCATTCCAAAAATAAGACTGAGATAACAGGTATTCAGAAGGTCAGGAAACACATCCAGGACATGGGGAAAAGACACCAGGGCAAAGGAAGTGGAGCTTGATAGGAAAGGGGACAAAGAGAAATTTAACAGGTTGATAATTTTGCCCAGGCTGGGCCTTGGCCAAACCATTTCCTGAACCAACCTTGACAGATAACCCTGAGTTGCCAATCCCTGATCCAGGCAATGATATAAAATGTCCTGGAGGAGGCGACCCCGTCTACAGACACCAGACGTGGGCTCTGAGGAAATGGGCCTTGGAGCGTCTGCACTCAACCTGAAGCATTGCTGAGGGCAGGAAAGAAGGATGCCCCGTGTTTCCCAAACTCGCTTGAACTTCAGAGTCGGGATGTCCAGGTGTCGTCCCTGGGAACCGGGTTTATAATGAGAACTCCAGCTGGCTCTTATGATCAGGCAAGTTGGGGAAACTGGGAGTTTAGATAGTGTTTCTCAAGGTGGTGACCACCGGTATCAGAAGCCCCTGGGAATTAGACCAATTGCAAATTTCCAGGCACTACTCCAGACCCAGAGAATCAGAATAGCAAGAAGTTAGGAGCCTGGAATCTGCATTCTTTTTTTTCTGAGACAGAGTCTCACTCTGTTGCCCAGGCTAGAGTGCCGTGGCGTCAGCCTAGCTCACAGCAACCCCAAACTCCTGGGCTCAAGCAATCCTGCTGCCTCAGCCTCCCGACTACAGGCATGTGCCACCATGCCCGGCTAATTTTTTCTATATATTTTTAGTTGGCCAATTAATTTCTTTCTATTTATAGTAGAGACGGGGTCTCGCTCTTGCTCAGGCTGGTCTCAAACTTCTGACCTTGAGTAATCCGCCCGACTCAGGGAATCTGAATTCTTAAAAATGGTTTCTAGGTGATTCTGCTGTGCCCTGCAGTTTGAGAACCATGGAAGCTTACTTAGCACAGTGGCTCCAGGGTCATAGTCCCCAGGTTCAAGGTCTGATTTCACCACTCACCAACTATGTGACCTTAGGTAGGTTACTGAATGTTTCTCTATACCTCAGTTTTACCTAGCTATAAAATGAGGATAGTAATATCTACCTATTATAATAATTTAATATTATTCTATATCATATAATTCAATGACATATTACTTAATATATAATTAAATTTAATTATGTAGTTTTGTTATATATTTTATATAATATAATAATTTCATGGAAAGCACTTAGCATGGGCCTTAGAACATTAGCATAACCATTAATTGTCATCTATTATAATCTTTTTTTCTTTTTTGAGATAGAGTCTTAGTCTGTTGCCTGGGATAGAGTGCCATGGTGTGAGCCTAGCTCACAGCAACCTCAAACTCCTGGGCTCAAGTGATCCTTCTGCCTCAGCCTCCCGAGTAGCTGGGACTACAGGCATGTGCCACCATGCCCGGCTAATTTTTCTATATATTTTTAGTTGTCCAGCTAATTTATTTCTATTTTTAGGAGAGATGGGGTCTCACTCTTGCTCAGGCTGGTCTTGAACTCCTGACCTTGAGCAATCCTCCTGCCTCGGCCTCCCAAAGTGCTAGGATTATAGGTCTGAGCCACCACGCCCAGCCAAATTGTCATCTATTATAATCTAAAAGCCAGAATCCTCTGTCCATTTTCCTTCAGACCCCAGCTGCATTTTCTTGGTACCTCTGCTCCAGCCTGCAGTAGAGTCTGCCTGTGACAGGGTTACTTAAATGCACACATCTGTCTCCCCCACTTGACGCTGGACTGCAAGAGGGCAGAGACCATGCCTTTTTTTTTTTTTTTTTTTTAAATACATAAATGTTTGGCTCCCCTGGGCTTCACAGCACTCTATGTCATGTCACAACAGAGTTGGAAGGGACCTTAGCGAGCACTGAATCTAGCCCCTCACTTTGCAGATAGGGAGACTGAGGGTGAATTATTTGTCCCTTGTCACATAGCCAGGTAGTTGAACTGAGGTTTCAGCCCCAGCCACCATCCAGCAATACCATTTGAGCACTGAACTCTTCGTCTTAAAAATGGGCATGATAATGTCCATTTGCCTATCATGTACTAAGCAAGTGCCTTGTGAGTGAATGTTAACGAGGAACTCTTTGGCAACCTGGATGATATTGTTACAATTGCTGCACAGAATTGACTCTGGCTCCATAAATATTCACTGAGTCATGGTGGTGGAGGCAAATTATCCAAGGATGAAAGAGTAATTATGGGGCCTGTTACCTCTGAAGCTGACATAAAGAAGAGTGTTGGTCACGTTATTTGTAAGGCCTTTGACACCCTCATCACTCAGGCCAGAGCCCACCACTTTCAGATCCCACTTTCAGCTTTAGTGCCTTTTTACCTTTTGCTTCCCTCTCTGATCCATTACTTTATCCTCTTATTCATGGTCTAACCCCTCCCTCCTGCCTCAGCCCAATTAGACCATCTCCTAAGTGATCTGACCCATCTCCATGGCCCTGGCCCTGGTGGATCAAGTGTTAAATATTATCAGAGACCACACTCCCACCCTCTTAGGTTCTTGGTTCTTGGACAAGAAGCTCTAGAAAGCAGGAAACTCATCTATGGTGTCCTCTAAGCTCTTCCTCAGGGCTTCTTTCCCAAGAACTGAGCAACCAAGACTACCCACGTCCCCTTGTGGCCTTACCATCATGGTTGGCATTTCCTAGCGTCCATGGCTCGTCCGAGTCAAAGTGAGTGTCTCCTCCAATCCCTGGGCCGGGGAAGTAGGCATGGGCCAGGAATCCCCCTTCCCCATCAAAGGGGGAGCTGTCGCCATGGAAACCAGAAGCAAAGAAGATCATGATGTCTGCCTCCTTCCGGTCACTTTTGATCTCATGGTATGGCACCTCTTCAAAGGTCAGCGGGGTCACCTTCTGCCACACATCGAAAGCCTGGCGAATAGCTTTCCGGGTGTCTAGCTCACCCACCTTTGGGGTGTAGTTGTGAATGCTGGTGAGAGAGGGAGACTCATTAGCAAGGAGTAGACAGTAAGAGACTAGAAGAGCTAGAAGCAGCATCCAAGACAATAGGGCCCAGTGACCTTCACATTTTGAACCCTAGAATCTTGCTGAGCTGCCCCAGGGGTCGAAGAAGAGGTGGAGTGGGCAGAGCTCTGGAGCCCTGCCCCTGCCTCGATCAGAATAGCTTTGCTTTAATCGGTGTTTTATATTTGATCTCCAACAAAGTTTGTGTTGAATAAAAGATTCCACTCCAATCTATAGAAAAGATTCCACTCCAATCTATAGAAAAAACAAGTTGGTAGATAGCATTTTCTAAAAAGTTATTTTAAAAATATTCAAACAGTGGAGAGGAGTTTAAGTGAAAAGTCACTTTAGAAAAATCTTTGGCACCAACTACTGCTTGTCTACCTAGAAGCTGGTATAGGGCAGCATGTGATTTAATCTGTTATAGATTTAGCTGTTTAGGGTTACTATGTCCATATTGCATGATCCTCCACAAAGGAGCATCATTACTTCTTGGTGCTCTGCCCTGTGAATGCCCGGGGCATGGATTATTCTACCCATTCCATAAGTAAGGAAACTGAAGCCCAGAGAGGTTGGGTGATAACGTTAAGGTCAGAGTTGGGACAGAACCCAGTTCTTCTTTCTCTTGGTCCACACTGGCTTTTTAGGAGACCCAAAAGTTTATCCAGTTTCTAACCCAGATTCTTGTTAAGTTTCCTTCCCTGTGTTGGGAATCGCAGGTGAAGTCCCTGAGGCTGACTTGGGTGGGGAGGGCATCTGGGTTAAAGGAGGTGGAGTTTGGCAGGCAGTGACAGGGAGAATGAATGAAGCCAGGTTCTTTATCACAGTTGAAACTTACCAAATAAGCTGTACTCCACTTTCTGTAATCTAAAAACCATAGGCATCTAAACAGAACACAACTAATGAGCCCCCAAAAGACCAAATAAACCTGAAGTAGGAGTGACAGCACCCTGTGGAAGACACAAGGAGGACAGAGTCATAGGCTCTCAGCACCTGGTCCTAATCACCCACCTACACTGTGAGCCTCTGAGACTCAGGCCAGGAAAACCAGAGTGAAGGGGAGTCAGAGCACCTGTAGGTGATGTGTTTTTGCCTCCACTTCTGTCCAGTCAGGGCATAGCGCTTGTTTCTCCGCCTACGGCTCAAGTGGGGGTGATCGGGGACTCCACATCGGGGTTTCTTCATCCACCTGGGCAGAAGGAGGAGACACACACATGCACACACATATACACGCTGTGGTCCCTGGGCACTCCAGGAGGCATTGCATGATCCTGGTCCCAGCCTGAAAGGCAACGGGCAGCCTCAACCTACACTCTGGGACCCTTGGCCTGAAGGGCCCCGACAGGAACGTGATTGGCCCCAACAGGAACATGATTGGCTGACTGATTCATTAATTCATGCACTTAAACAACCAAATGTGGAGAAGCAGTGCTGTATCAAGACTGGGAATCAGAAGACAAGGACTTGGTAAGTTCCAGCTCCATTCACCACTAATCACAGGGCCACAGGCAAGCGACTGAACCAAGGTGAACCTCAGTTTCCTCATCTGCAACATGAGAATTACGATTCTTTGCTGTTTCTAGGAGGCAGTGAGTCTCCAAGGAGGGAGAATGTGTGAAAATGCTCTGCACGTGCAATTAGAACACGTCACTCCCTGGTTAACAGCCCCCAACGACTTCCCCAAACACTAGAATAAAATCCAAGCTTTTCATTCCAGCCCACAAAGTCCCACATGATCTAGCCCCTGCCTACCTGTCCAATAACATCACCCACATCCCCTCATATCCTATGCGCCAGCAATGGCGACCTTCTTGCTGTTCCTTGAACATGCTAAGCCTAGTCCCACTCCGGGTTCTTTCCATTTGCCGTTTCCTCTACTTGCAATGTTCTTCCTCTTCGGGTGGTTTGTTCCTGTACTTTGTTAAGGTCTCTGCTCAAATGTCACCCCTTCAGAGAGGACTTCCCTGTCCACCTTATCTAAAATAGTCCCCCCCAATCCCACTGCTATCTGCTTATCCTGCTTAATTTTTCTTCATACCGTGTATCACTTCCTGCAATTATATTATATATTTGCTGCTTATTTATTCTTTGTCTCTCTCCCCAGATTCTAAGCTCCATAAGGACAGGCACCTTGCCTGTGTCCCCAGGGCTGGCACAGTGCCTGACACAGAAGGGGTTCAATCATGACTTGTTGACTGAATGAATGAATGCATAAATGAATGAATCAGAACTACTCAACAGTAGAATGGCAGAACATGGAGGGCAGCAAATCCTCTTTCACTGTGAGTGTTTAAGAAGTGGCTGAACAGCTAGCTATAGGACTTGGAACGTAATTCTCTGCAGCACTTATCACATTGTATTGTGAATTTTGTTTTTGAGACAGAGTCTCATTCTGTTGCCTGGAATAGAATGCCATGGCGTCAGCCTAGCTCACAGCAACCTCAAACTCCTGGGCTCAAGGAATCCTCTTGCCTCAGCCTCCTGAGTAGCTGGGACTACAGGCATGCACCACCATGCCCGGCTAATTTTTTAAATATAATTTTAGTTGTCCAGCTAATTTCTTTCTATTTTTAGTAGAGACAGGGTTTCGCTCTTGCTGAGGCTGGTCTCGAACTCCTGAGCTCAAACGATCCTCCTGCCTCAGCCTCCCAGAGTGCTAGGATTACAGGCATGAGTCTGTTGTCTCTAATAAGTGGTAAATTCTTTGAGGACAGGACTATGTCATATTTATCATTGTGTCCTCAGAAACTAACTTAGTGCCTAGAACTAAGTAAATCCTGATAACTGTTATCAGGTAAAGTTACATTAGGGAACAGTAAGCCTGGGACATCATTAGGGACTTTTTAAAAAGGGGCCAAGGTAGGAGACTTTAAAGATCATGGCTGATTGGGATCCTGCATTTTATGTCCATCCCTGTGCTGGCCTAATGACCAACTCACTACACTACAGCACAGGATTGCTGAGAGGGAAGGCAGTCTGACCTCGTTTGCAGTTAAAAGCAGTTGCAGTGTAGGGAAAGAAGACAGAGACTATTTTAACCAAATATCAAAAGCCCCTCGAGGGAATTGCCCAGGTCTTACTCCTCTTCGTAGGCTCCATGTTGCCTAGAGAATGCCCCATACTCAAAACTCAATAATAAAAGACATAATAATAACCATACCATGCATTGGTATAAACATTTATAATTTTTACAATGTTCATATGCATTTAAAATTTTTGATTCTCAAGACAAGCCCGTGAGGTAGTCAGAAATTATTATCCCCACTTTACATTTGAGGGGAAGATACAAGATAAATCGAGTAACTTGTAAAACATAGAAAACAGCGAGGCAGGACTGGAACTTAGCTGAATGAATACATGAACTGTTAATTAATGCAATTTAACAAACACAGCCTGGAGCTTTTATGTTTTCTGTCAGTGCTTACCACAAGGCTGAGCTAGAGGAACCATGCTGCTGACTGACTGACTGAATGAATGAATGAGTATGTGCCTTTCCCAAGGTAGACATTCAAAAATCGTACTTGAAATTGCTACTCTAGCTTCCTTTTACTAACAGTCCCTGGGGAGAGAACCAAGAGCCACCCCTGCTACTGCAAGGCAGGGTTAGACCTGGAATGGCCCCGCGGGGAGGAAACAGGCCCAGAGAGAGGCAGCTGTAGCCCTACGTCACAGAGTGGAGCTGGAACTCAGGTCTGTAAATTCCACCTCAACGCCGCAGGTCTTGGGTTAGGCGTGAGTGGCTTCCTCCTTCCCGAGCTTTCAGACCACCATTCCCGGCCTTCCTACGGGCAGAACTGCAAGTGGGAAATGCCATCCTCTCGCCTCACATCGTTCCCTCCGCCTCCTCCTTTCACCGTGCACCTGCCACTCTCTGAACCCTGTCCAGCAGGCCTGGGGCTTTCTGGAATGGAGTAAAACCCACGGCCAGGTGGTGCCCCAGCAGCGACACCAGCGCTCCTGCCCCAGGGTGCGCCGCCACGAGGCCTGCACACAGCCCTCAAAATAACCTCCGCTTTGAAAGGCGGCCGGGCTCTCTTTCCCCAGCTCACTCGAGAGGCCACAGGGCCAAGGGATCCACCGTATGTATACCTGACATCACAGGAGCAGTCAAACGCCTGAGCTCAGAATTTCACAATCTCACAGTCAGAGAATCCTAGGGATAGGAAATGTTCACCCAGAATTTTAGGATCCTAAAACCCCAGACTCACCCTCACCAAGCTTATTTTTTTTGAGATAGAGTCTCACTCTGTTGCTGGGGCTAGAGTGCCGTGGCGTCAGCCTAGCTCACGGCAACCTCAAACTCCTGGGCTCAAGCGATCCTACTGCCTCAGCCTCCCGAGTAGCTGGGACTACAGGCATGCGCCACCCTGCCTGGCTAATTTTTTCTATATATTTTTAGTTGCTCAGCTAATTTCTTTCTATTTTTTTTTAGTAGAGACAGGGTCTCGCTTTTGCTCAGGCTGGTCTTGAACTCCTGAGCTCAAGCAATCCTCCAGTCTCAGCCTCCCAGAGTGCTAGGATTATAGGTTTGAGCCACCATGCCTGGCCTCACCAAATTTTAAAAGCTTGGATGCTTAGAGTAATAGAATCCAGAATTTGAAAGCCATAAACCCAACAGTCACCTTTGCAAATAAATGAACACACTGAGATCCAGAGAGATGATTCTCTCAAGGAGTGACTTACCCAAGGGGCAAACTGATCCTTGGTCCACAATCGGGTGCATTTCCTATTCCTCTCCCAACTCCCCAGTGTCCTCACCCAGCCCTGCTAGGCTCCTGCCCTTACTACCTCCTTAGGAAATTCACTCCGTGCCTTCATGGCATGAATGGGTTTTCTCAAACAGCTTTCATAGCTATTTCTTAAATTTAAGCCTGTTCAACTCTCTCCCATCTTAAACAAACCAAGCAAGCTTCATCCTCTTGAGCTACCACCCATTGCTCCTCCCCTACTCGGTCAAGCTTGACTGTGTTCCCTCCACTTGCCATCTCTACTCCTCTCCTCCCCTTCTCCTTGCTGCAGTCTGACTCTGTCTCTGCCATTCCGCTGAGGTTAACAACCACCACCCGTTTGTCACTAAACTCAGCAGATACCTTTCGGTCCTGCTCCTGTTGGGCCACTCTGCAGCAGCGGGCGCTGCGGACACTGCCCCTCTCTGCCAGGACATCACATCACACCCATCGGGCTTCCTCTTCCACTCCAGCTGCTCCTTCTCAGCTGGCTTTGTGCGGTTCTATCCCCAGCACCCTTCTCTTCTTCCTCTTTCTACTCTCCCCAGAGTGATCGCAATCATCCTCGTGGCTCGATTTACTTGTTCCTACCTCCTAAATGCCTCCCTGAGACTCAGTGCTTCCCTCTGCGCTCTAGACTGGTGTGGCTGGATGACTGTGTTTGTCACTGGACAGTGAGCCTCTGGCAGACAGGAGGACGGGACCAAGCACGGTGCCTGGCACATGCAGACACTCAGCACGTGTTTGGTAAGTGGAAAAAATGGGACGAGAGTTGCCATCTCATTATATCATTCAAGAGTTTTCTGTATCCAGTGAGACTTGTACATGGCAGGGAACTATAGTCAGCTACTCATAGAAATGTAAGTTACTAGAGCCCGAGGAGATTTAGGAGACTGTTTGTAACCCAACCCCTCATTGTACTGATAAGGAAACTGAGGCCCAGAAGGGTTAAGCGACTTGTCTCCAAGGTCGCACAGTAAGTGGATGGCTTGGCCAGGACTCTCATCCCAGCACGTCGCAGCTCACATAGGAAAGGGCACTTCGGGGTGCTCCCTCCCAGGATGGCGCTGCAAGAGGAGAAGACAGAAGAAGGTAGGACAGGCATGCGGTGTACACGGGCCATGACAAATGTAAACCCAGATGTAAGTCCAGAAAGTTCAAAGGCACAATGTCCTACGCAAATCTTACTCGATCGTTGTCTGATCCAACACACCGGTGACTGGGATCCCGTAAAACTGCTGCATAGTGGAGACTGCTGACTGTAAGGCCTTCCCTGAGTGCAACGCCGACGCCCGGGAGTCATAGGGAAGCAGATAGCCGTACGACTTCAACCAGTTCTGGAAGACACGCGAGAGAAAAGCTGGAGAAGGCTTCTGTTCTACGCGAAATTTGCCCTTAAAACTAGGGATCATTTTACCCAAATGACTTGTGAACGCATGCTCTGGTTTCTTCCTCTATTCTGCAGACACTGTCAAATTAATCTCCAGAAAACACAGCTCTTACTGGCTCACTCCCCTGCTATAAACCTTTCCTTGAGTCTCTACTGGCAATGGAATAAAGACCAAATTTGAATTCAGAGCTTGCCACTAGCCTGCCTTTTTACTTATTTATTCAGTGCTTTCCATGGATATCAGACTCAACGTGCAAGAGCACAAGAACAGTTGATTCTCTCAAGTAAGCTGGTCTCTGGAAAATGTTGTGCCAACCAGAAACCCAGTGTGCCTCCAGTCAGAGTCTGATGAAGAATCATTTTGCAGAGTATCTACTGGCAGGAGGTTATATACAATCTTTATTGCTAATCTCTCCTAAAAGGCAAGCCATTATAAATAACTATATATGAATAAAACATTGTATTATTTTATCTAAATATAAACAATATGTGTATAGAAAAAATCTAGAAGGGTACACATACAAATTAATATTTATGTAGGAGAATTCCTTGTTTTTAGGAAATACACAATGAAGTATTCAGGCTTACATGATGCATGATGTCTGCAACTTATTCTTGAATGGATTCAGAAATACATATATAGAGAGAGACAGAAAAGGAGAAAAGAGATAAATAAAGCAAATGTAGTAAAATGTTAACAGTTGAGGAATCCGAGTGAAAGGTATTCAGGAATTCGTTTTTCCTATTTTTGAAAACTTTTCTGAAAGTCCTTTTTAAAAAAATAATATGAATGGATGAACGAGATTAAAAGAAAAAAAAATAAAAAAATAATAAAGGATTAACTGTGATAATCTCCTTTGATTATAGTATCATGGGCACTTTTTTTTTTTTTTATGTGCTTTTCTGTTTTCTGACTTTTATGCATGGAATTTTTTTTTAAAGGAAGAAAACTTTATCAGGGCAAGAGACTCTGAAAGAAGCTTGGGTGATGGAGCCCAAACAAGCACCAATGTGAAGGATGTAATGGTGATTATTCCCACCAAAAAGCAGGAGGGGATGGAAACCTGAAGAAACAAGAGCATCAGGAAATAACCTGTGGCATCAATTGGCAAGAGAGGAAAACATCCATGAATTTCCTGAGACCACAAGCATTGCCGGGAGCACTTCCATATGGCCACCTAGAAGCTAGTAACCCCATCTTCCATTCTCAGAGGGTTGTCCTGAGCAAGTGAGCTAATGAAGGTATGACTCCCTTCTTATCTACAGCTTTTGTTTCCTGTTTCTATATGAACAGGCTTATTGTGGCTGTGTCTTTTATTATCATAAGTCAGATCAAACCATTTTTGGAAGCAGGCAGAGCAGAAACTATAAATAAGTTATTATTTATTTCACCAAAGTTGACTATAACATCTTTACTGTCTTGCGATAAAATCCATCTGACGATTAAAAACAAAATTGACAAAATAAAAAAGCCTTAAACATCCACAACAGAGTAACAACCTTACCTTTCTCGCATTTGGTATCTACAACATGTTTTTCATTCTGAATGATGGCACAGAATATCAATACTTCTTGCAGTTCCCCAAACATCGATTCTCTTTCATGCCTTTGTTCATGTTTTTCCCTCTGCCTAGACTACACTTCTTAGTTTGCCAAAAATTTTTCACATTTTAAAGTTCAACCCATAAATTACTACTTCTGGAAGGCTTCCCTGACTTGCCAGGCTAAGTTATTTTCTCCCTCTTCTGCACTCCCCAACCTCCCCCCCACTACAAGTATTATAGATCTTATAATATTGGGCTCTAATCTTACGTATCAATCTCCTCTAGACTCTAAACTTCTCAAGGGAAGGGTCCATATCTTACGCATCTCTATATACCCAGTGCCCAGGACAGTGCTGGACACACAGTAGCCATTCATTACGTCCATTCCACAAGCATTATTGAGCACTGACTACATGCCAGGCACTGTGCAAGGCTCTAGAATACAAAGGTGAATAGGAACTCACAGACCGACAAGTAAACCCAAAATGGAAATATAGTGCCAAAAAGCAGGAAAGTACAGAGTTCTACAGGAGAACACAAGAAGGGTTCTTATCCACAGTAGTGGGGGGGACAGGGAGAAAGAGGAATTTAGGGAAGGCCCAGGTGGAGATGGGAAGTGACCTAACACTTAAAGGACACAGCACATGCAATTGCCTGGAAGTGCGGCAGAGCATGGCACACTCGGAGCAGAATTCAAAATGGCTCAAAGTTTAGGGGGTGGCAGCAGTGAGTGGAGGAGCTGGAAAGGAAAGGAGTGGAGAGAGATGATATATAAATTATCGATTCACAGAGTGGAAAAACTACAAAGAGTCACTTGTGATTTGACTGTGGCCTAGGATCAGCCCAAAAGCTCAAGGAAGACATCTGCAAATGGAAATGACAGGGAAACTGACAAGTCACCCCTCTGTTAATCTATGCACCCCAACTTCTATTCCCAGGTTAAGTCATGTCATCAAAGCACCCGGGCCCCATACCACATTCTCTCAGCCTCTCACAGCCAGAATATCACGTTACATTCCCTTTCTTTATGGAAACTTTAATTAAAAACTTTCAGATTGAATAAACAGGGTTGTATAGTGGGAAAGAGACCTATAGCCCTGAGATCAAATCCTGGCTTCACTTCCTGGCTACGTGGCCCTGGGCAAACTGGGCTTCAGTTTCCTTATTTGTAAAATGTAAATAATAGGCCTGGGGAGATGGCTCATGCCTGTAATCCTAGCAAAATGGGAGGGCGAGGTAGGAGAATTGCTTCAGCTCAGGAGTTCGAGACCAGCCTGAGCAAGAATGAGACCCCATCTCTACTATAAATAGAAATTAGCCAAACAACTAAAAACAGAAAAAAATTAGCTAGACACGGTGGCGTGTGCCTGTAGTCCCAGCTACTTGGGAGGCTGAGGCAGGAGGATCGCTTGAGCCCAGGAGTTTGAGGTTGCTGTGAGCCAGGCTGCCGCCACGGCACTCTAGCCCAGGCAAGAGTGTGAGACTCCGTCTCAAAATAAAAAAAAAAAAAAAGAAAAAGAAAAACATGTAAATAATTCCTCCTCCATGGGGTTGTTGTGAAGATGAAATGAATGAATACACCTGACACGTAGCAATCACTCAGAAAGTGTTTGCTATCCTTTCGGATGGCGTTTCTGTTACTTTTGTGAAATCGAGGTGGAAAACAGGGTTTGAATCCTTCTCTGCCTTTTGGAATCTAGTCATGCTGCGCTCCCACGTGCTCCCTGGACCAGGGGCCTGTCTGCGTGGGTCCCACGGAGGGGAGCCCATCTTTCACGGTCAGGTCCAAGGACATGCCCATCCTCACGGAAGGCCGGGAGCACCGCCTAGGGTCTGGGGCTGCGAGGACGGGGAGAAATGACAGCTAAAGTGAACTGTATCCTTTTCACTCTCTCACTCACCTTTCTTAGGACCAAACACAATCACTTTCTACAAGGCTTTTTTTTTTTTTTTTTTTTTTTTGAGACAGAGTCTCACTTTGTTGCCCAGGCTAGAGTGAGTGCCGTGGCGTCAGCCTAGCTCACAGCAACCTCAAACTCCTGGGCTCAAGTGATCCTTCTGCCTCAGCCTCCCGGGTAGCTGGGACTACAGGCATGCGCCACCATGCCCGGCTAATTTTTTTATATATATATATCAGTTGGCCAATTAATTTCTTTCTATTTATAGTAGAGACGGGGTCTCGCTCAGGCTGGTTTTGAACTCCTGACCTTGAGCAATCCACCCGCCTCGGCCTCCCAAGAGCTAGGATTACAGGCGTGAGCCACAGCGCCCGGCCTCTACAAGGCTTTAGCTTGAAGAAAACGCTTTCCCGACAGGAGATTCTGTTTGCTGTAAGGTATACGAAAAGAAGCACTGGGCAGCCCAATGCTTTTCCCTCGTGGCCTTTTTGCCAGGAAACTGTCAGCCAAATTTATGGCTTAAGCGTTGAGCACAGGGATGCTTGGAAGTAACTATGACTTCTTTCATTTTTCAGACCACTAAGTTATGTTTCATCCTTAAAAGACTTACTTAAAAAACATGTTTTAATCTGCGAGTTGCCTCACGCCATTCCAAAAAGAGGTGTGGTACAAATCTAAAATACATCCAATTCCTCCCTGTCAACAGACTCTATTAGTTCTCCAGAAAGTCTGACTAGGATGAATACAGCACTGGGCAATGGCGAGGGAAGGGCCTTTGCACAGATATGCTGACAGACCAGTCAGCTAATCCAGTATTTTTTGAGCGCCCACCTCTAAGCTAGCGTGGAAGTAGGGAACAGGGAACCTTCCACATGAATCCACTTCAGCCTTCTCAGGCTGTCGGGAATGAAAAGCAGCTCCTTGTCAGTGAAGCTCCGGCAACCTGGTTTCACCCAGCTCCTCTTCTGGGATACTCAGTCCATCTCAGCAACATCAGGAGTCAGACTCTAAGGACTCAGGTCATAGGCAAATGTCTGGGTCAGCACCGAACACTGGGGTGGACCAGACACACGGTGGGGGTCGGAGCAGTGTTAGTGCCTTCTCTGGGCTCCAATTCCCTCCCAGGTTCGCTGGGGAGAAGCCTCAGGGCTCAGGAGCAAACTCCTAAGAGTGGAAATAGGAGGGGGAGGGGCTGGTTAAATGACAGCATCCAAGCCAGGGAATAGGGCATTGAGATTGGACCTGGCAGAGTGTGTGTGTGTGTGTGTGTGTGTGTGTGTGTGTGTGTGTGTGTGTGTGTGTTAGAGGGTAGGAGGCTAAGTAAGACACGTTAGCGGTCTGACCATTCCACCTTCCAATGCTTAACCCTATCTCTGCCACTCACTTGCTCTGTGACCCAAGCAATCCTTTTCCTTCTCTGAGCAGAAGTCCCTGAGACTGGAGCAAGTGTTCTACATGCCAGTCACACCAATATTCCAAACACTCCCTGCCCTTTCACACTTCCAGGCTGTTTCTGCTGCCTCTGAAGCCCATTCTCTTTATTCATGTTAGCAAACTCTTACTCATCCTTCAAGGTCTAGCTCAAATGTCACCTGCTTTGTTAAACTTTCCCTAGTTCTCCCTGGCAGAGCTAGTGGCTGCCCTCCTTACTCCTGTTGTACTTTGTACACACTACTCTGAACACAGCTACCACAATGTATCACATCCATTGGTTGATCTGTCTGTTTTCCATGCTAGATTGAGTTCCTGGGGACCAAAGACTGTGCCATGGTTATTTCTGTATCTGTTAAAATACTTAGCACAGTGCCTGGCACAATAAATAATCACTGAGTTCATGAATGAATGAGTGAATGAATGAATAGTTGGTCTAGGAGGCACTGCCTGGGTACCAAGAAAGGGATTTTCATCTTGGGAAGGTTTAATGAGTACTATGCACCATTAAAGCACCAAGCACAATTCCTGGTATCTATTAGAGGTTTCAAAAAAAAAATCTGCTGAAATTCAATCTATTGTGGTTTGACTTCCTTGCCTGATGAAGCAATAGGTTCCACTGTACCGTTTGAAAAGAAGATAAAATCCACTAGCAGGAAAAAAGCCCCATTCAGTTTTAAACAGAATGACCTTGCTTTCATCTTTTTACACCTGGATCCATTAATCAATCACCAGCCACGTCAGATCTAACCTTTACAGCTCAGTTAACCAACTCTAAGATGTCTGTCACCCTTTAAGTGCTGAAAGAGGTGTAAACCCAGAGGAAAGTGAGAAAAGTCGTGCTAGCAGGGACCGAAATAGCTGGGCTGAACCAAAGATGTGGAGATCACAGATCATACCGTGCGATT